TACCTATAACTTTTTATTGTTTGTAAATATTGAGCGACATTTTGTATGGGCTTCTGCAAGCGCATAAATTGAAGCCGTGATTGGCAATATATTTTTGTCAAAGTTCTCCTAACACCTAACCTCATTAAATAAGAAAAAGGCATGTTTAGGAAGTAGGCCTATTTTGAATATGAATTGTTTATAGAATTTTTTTTTTTTTTTTTGGAACTATAAATGCCTCGAACAGTGCCTCATTGGTTACTTTTTATGACACTGAATTCACCAAAACTCATGACACTAACAAGCATTCTTCATTTTACGATCATACTCTAGGTATTATCATGTGACGGAGCGCGTTAAAAATGTGACACTTTTCCGAATGAAGGGTTACCCTTTGCCGATACTTTCAGCATGCATCTCTCTCGAAAGCAATACTGACCTTCTTGGTAAGAGACAAAAACGGGGCTTCATAACTCTCGTTGGCGTCGCGTCTCTCCTCCCCAAAACCTTCCGACTAATCAATTCAGATGTTTCACCCTCGTCCCCAGTGGCTTCTGGCGAACAACCTGGGAATGGTCACAGCCGATTTACCGACCGATCAATCAGGGACGAGTATGATTATTCTGAAATTCGTATCAGACTGCGAACGCATAATGCCTCTACCAGAAAAGACTGTCCGAATGCGCTGAATACTAGCACTGTATGAGAGGCAGTCAGTGCATGCTGCCCATGTCTTTAAAGAGATCGGTAGGGTTTCAACAATTTCTGTTGAGCTCTGGAGTTCTTGACATTTTCCGACCGGCAACGGTATTCTTTGTTTGTCAACCAGGAAGGTCTCTGCCAATCAGGGGCGGATCTAAAGGGGGAGCCTTAGGCCCAGATTACCCAATAGGCACAGTAGGCACTGTGCCTAGGGCCTACGAAAAATACCCAAAAATATGGGGGCCTACAAAAACTTGGAGAGGGCCTACGAAAATACTGCAGTGTGCCATAAAACACATAGGCCTACCCACACACACGCGCAGAGAAAAGTTTTTTTTTATTTTATTTTTAGGTCTCTCTCAGAATTTTCGATTTTACCAACTGACGCTGTACAGCATGTATGCATAGGCCCTACGTATAAAATGTACGTGTAAAGTCTGTCGTTCTGAAGCACGGTGCCAACCATGGGCGTCGATCGGTGGGAAACGGGGGGGGGGGACTGATGTCGTTCTCTAACGATTTTCGTCCCTGAATAAAAATATGTAGCCTACATTTGATTCTATAGCTCAGAACAGCTGATTTAATGACTCCAAACTCGAAAAAGATGTTTAAATAATGATCTTGTGCTAAAACTTTGGCAGTCGTCAGAAATTGCCTCAGATCGCACCACAGGGCGCCTAGAAACCATTTTTTTTCAGGGGCCTTAATAAGCGGGCCCAGAACCCCGCGCCGTTTAGGCTTCGCACTCGCACAATGAGTACTGATCAAGATACACATGTATACATGACATTGGTATTGGCTACTTGAACCACGGCCAAGGGCGGACCCCGGGGGGAAACGGGGGCCATGCGCCCCCCCCCCCCCCCAAAAAAAAGAACCCATTTTTTTTTAAAGTAGGCCTAACGTCGCAATAAAGGCAGGCATTATGTCAAAGTGGTCAGAAATTGCCTCAGATCGCACCACCGAGCATCTAGAATCCAAAAGTATTTCGGGGCCTAATAGGGCCCGAACCCCGGGCCGTAATTTTTGGGACCCACTTTTTGAGGGGACCAAAATTGTTTTGCCCCCCCCCCCCCCAAAAAAAAAATTGTGTTCTGGATCCGCCCTTGACCACGGCCACATTAATTATTAAGCAATGAGGCTGTGAACACATTTTGAAAAATCGCCACTGTCCTTGCTGTCGGACTAATATTTATTTCACGAGGAGTGCGTTAAAACAAACCCGGGAAGCTACATAAATCTTGTTGGTTACATATTCACACCACTTTAGGCCTACAACCTCAATTAAATGACGAAGAATGCACTCCAGTCAGTGTATTCATTATATCGAACGATCAATTTTGTTACAATGAACTGATTTCCATTTTTGTTAATAATGACGATGAATGAATATAACATTATTTTAATGAGACAGGTAGTTTCTGCATAGATTAATTGTAATTTTCCCCTGACGTTGTTTATCGATAAAGTCAAATGAGATGTTAATTGTTTCAATTTTTTTAAAGGGCAAAATATATAAAAAAATCTACCTTCAACCTGAAAGCTAGTTCATATGAATAAGAATGCATTCATGCGTCATATAATGCACTGAGACCAACATGTCACATTCGCCCGTTCAACCTGACGAGCTGGACAATTCCACACGACCTTCCATCGTAACACGCATGGGGAGAAATTTCACCTATTCATGGCAGACCTCGAAATTGATATAACCATCATTATTGATCGACAGCCCGTCGTAGTTCCTGCATTTTTTCTCTTTTATTACAGGCAAGGTCTGTTCTGATATGTCAATTATTACATACCCAAATAATAGCGTACAGAAACGGGCGCTAGCCGCATTGAATTGACCTCACAATTATGATTTCGGAAGTAAAATTAATATCAGATGAAAGTAATCTCCTGTGTTCTCATGGTATGGTTTTAATTCACTTTATTATCCATGCTTTGTTCGTGTCCAATGTTATTCCGCTTGTCGTAAAACAATTTGTTCGTGGAGTTCTTCAATTTGAATGTTCATACTAAATTCATAAGTTTACGTATTTGTAATTTTCAAGATACAGCCTTACCATTCAATATAGAATATACCTACACAAATGTGATGGTACTATTGCATTGCCCAAGGCTGATTAATTATTGTGCTAGCATGCTGTTACCAAAATTGAAATTGAAAACTGTTGTTTTTTTCTCCAGTAATTATATATCTGCGTTGCGGCCTTGTCTCGTATTTCAAAATTGATCAAATCCAAATAGAAAACAAAGCATCCTCGTACAATGCAAGCCGGTGATGCGACATTCAATTTCATCCATTCTCGATTTTGTTTTTTCCACTGAATGCGCCGGTAGTGAAATTGGAGACATCATTCCCTGGGGCTGGCGAAGGTGACCTTATGGCTTGAATTACTGCAGAAACAAATACAGAAAAGGGAAGAGAAAAATCAATATGCTTTTAATTCTTGAAATCATAAAACTGAAATTCCTGGGTCAAATTATTACATCGATTGTGCGTGGTTGCATTTCGTTGTAATGGAGATTCCTTTCAGTGAAAACCAACAAACACAAGTGACGTACGGTACGTTTTGTATAGGCCGGATGGATATATAAGCCTGCAAGAAATAATCTGATTGGAAGGTTGAATTCAACAATAGCTTCAGTGTTGTAGGCTTACATGTGCACTGGGATAAAATAAGTAGTTTCTAGGTTAGTCTGGTTCCCTGTCCCCATTGTCCTTTGGACACACGTGGGGACAGGTATAGCAGTGTCCCTGAATATACTAGGTGGCTTTCCGCTTAATTTATGCACATTATATGCATGACGTGTAAGTCTGAATCCCGCCTCCTGAATTCAAAATCACAAGAGGAATGTTTGCTTGCAACCAGCCTATTGCAAAATGGCAGTTAGGCCGCGCCACGAATGTACAGTTTCGGACTGGTGATGAGCTTCGAATTTTGCTGAATTCGAAAGTGTCCCTGGCAAATATCAATAATAAAGAGAGGGAAATTACTGTTCAGTATTTAAAACCAGTGCAGTTGAAATGCTTGAAAGTCGCAATTGCCTTCATGGACTATAATTATATATGGAGGCACTATAACGATTTGCTATAATCGTGTGTTCATTCACCGTCCATGCACAAAGCTGAACAGCGATTCAAAAATATACAATCATGATGCGCGCGCAGAGGTGATCCAATCAATGGCTTCAATTGGAGCTAAGTACCGGTCCCCTTATTTTTTTTAGGGGGGGGGGAACAGTCTATTTCTAGGCGAGTCATAAACATCAGTTTCATTAATAATTGATATTGCTCTGCACGTGTACAGATAAAGGTTCTTTATAAGCTATTTTTTGCGTGCTTTGAGGGAGACTCAACGCGCAGACTAACAATGTGACTACAATAAAAGACATTTCTTTGGGGCATTTTGTGCGCATTTTGGTCGCAGGAGAATTGGGTGCCGCGTGCGAATTGTGAGGAGAAAGGTAAACCATCTCAGAAATAGTTGTTAACTATTGTGGTCCCTGATTATTCTGTTAGCAAAGCAGTGTCTCTGTTTCTGGACACAAAATGAATCCTGCTCCCAGTGACAACATATAGGGAGTTGATTACTTCAAGTATCCAGTGTTCACATAATCTCTGATAGGACTATTCGAGTCGAGAGAATTCCTAATACCTGAACTCAAAATGGCTAGGCTTTAGTGTAACATAATGCACAAAGTCTGTATAATTATATCCATACAAACTGAAGCCACGGATGCCATTTTGTAATCAAATGTAGGTTGCCACTACTGTCTCCTTTTCTATTCTCACTTTTGAATTGTAGAAAATCCAGCTCAGGAGTTAAAGCACACAGAGGGCGCCCGTCCTCTTTTCCGTCAGTCTTTCTGCTTCGCCTAGAAACGTTTTTAATTACTTTTTTTTGCAAAGAGGGCGCTTCTCACATCACACTGTACCAGAACCTTAGCTCACGGGTGCTAGACTAGTATGGCTTTAGACGAAAATAAAGCGGGAGTGTCTTGAACTCTTGATTGGTAAAACGAATAATTGATGATTGAACGGATGGACGTCATCTTTCACATAATTTATAGGTGACCGTTTAATTTCAAAGGTGTGAAAACTGCACGGTTTATTGCTGGAAAGCGGACAACCTCGATCCCTGTCAACAAGCTACTTAAACAAGTTGCAAACGCTCATGTAAGTCTTACTAACGCCGCTGTTCAATGATCGCCAATTAGCTAAGTCTCCTCGCCATCAAACCGAACTGACTAAACGGTTTTGTCTCAAGAAGCCTAAAAAAGCATCTCCCAAGCAGTAAAGGGATAATGTTTCACCTGTCTAACGCTATCTCTTTGTCCTCTTCATCCTTTGAGGGGGTTCCGATTTTGCGCAGTCTCTCCTTAGCAACCTCGGCCATAATGGCGCGCATTTCCGGATTCTCCTCCAAAACTTTAAACCACAAAAAGAAGAAAACATATTTACAAGAGCATTGATCGTTCAGCCGATAAAAGCTCTAAGAGTAATGTGTCCCACACCTAATAAAATCCATAGCTTTTGCAATTTCAAATTCAAGATGAGAATTTTTGGGGGGAGGGGCTTGTTGTCGATAAAGATCCAAAGTAGAAACAAAGTGGCGCACCTTCCTCGAAATCATCTTTGGCCAGTCTGTAGAGGTCGCAGGTCGATGCAGCTAAGACAGATGCAACCCGACGTTCATCAATTAGCAATGAAATCTCTGGAGGAGGAAAGAAAGGCGTTCAATTATCCACAGGTGATGAACGTCCCTAAAAATGGGACTGCCACTATCAAGATTCTTGTTGCTATTCGTAAAGGAGATTTTCAAACCTCGGTTTTGACTCCATGCAGCTTAGGCTTAATCTCTTCCTTAGTGAAAACCTTCGCGCTGTGGCATTGTGCTCTAAAATAAAGTCCAGTTTGCCTATTTCCTTAATTACTCCGACATTTCGGTAAAAAAAAATCATATTTCACAAGTTCTTCATTCAAACATAGCCAAACACCTGCCCCTGTGACAAGAACCACACGTTTGTGTAATAAAATCCTCATAATAAGTTGAGCCGGCCTCGCCGCAGGACATGGATAATCAATCATCCTGTCAACAAAACTAGTCAGCAAGCTCAAGTCACGAATCCCGGTACATACCGTTATTTCGTTTAACCGTTTTGGATTTCCTCAAAAACAAAAACAGTAAACGAACCATTGACCGTTTTGTCGTTTTACAGTTTTGTAAAACGGTAAAACTTGGATTAAGTCACGGCTGTTTGCAGTCGTCTGACCATGTGCAGGATACAAACTAAATTTGATAGAAAACAGTTGAAGTGTATTTCTATATCAAACGTGTACTGTAGTTCACAGAACGATCATTGGACGTGGGTGTAAAATGATAGTGAGACGCATGTCAAAAGCAAATTTGAAGCTAAAGTTTGCCCCATGTTAAATGACATTTGCATGTCCCGAACTGGGCCTTAAATTATCCGAAATCGGACCGGAGACAGAGCCAGAAAACTGCTCTGTAAACAAATGCAGTGTTTTCAAACACATACCTCCAAAGTGGTCCCCGTCCTGCAGGGTACCAACCACCCGGTTGTTCACGCATATCTCCACCATGCCATGCTCGATGAAGTACATGGCATCGCCGCGGCTGCCGGCCGTGATGATGACGTCACCGGCTAAATATACCTCGAAGTGGAGCTTCTCGATGATGTCAATGACGAAGCTGGGGCTGCCTTTGCTGAGGAATTCCGCTTTCTTGACCAGTGAGCGCAGGTGGTGCTGCACAATCTCCTAATTCCGACACCGTGGATAAAAGAGAAGAATCTTTTGCTTTATAATAATTATATGTGGTGTCCGTCCGCGAATTCATCTTCGTAATAGAGCATGTAAGTTGACCTCAAAAACCAAAAACCCAGGTACCAAATGCAGGTGACATTCAGCATACTCTTCGGCACAATTAACTGTTTTAGCGCATCTATATATCTGCAGGAAAACGGCGCTATATAGTCATGTATAGGCAGGCCTATATAGTTGGTATTTTTTATAGAATGAAAGTTAGTAGTTAGTAGGATTTTTTTTTAAATACATGTTGTGTTTGTCGTAATGGAAGTGGGCCTATTTAGTCACTGCATTGTCGTTAAGCCAAATGAAAAAAAGAGTAAGGAGTCTGGTTGAGTGCCAAATAGGGTGTGGTCATCTCAAGTTCATTTTGACGACGCGATTGGAACGTAACATATCGGACCAGTTCTACATTTTCGTGGAAGTAGACTTTAATACGTACCCTCCTCAATGGTGCTGACTGTTGTCGCAAAATGGCGTCCTCGTCAAAGTATTTTCGCTGGTAGCGGTGCTCGTAGTACATTAATACACGCTTCTGTGTGCTGGCTGGTATCTTGCGGTAGCGCATGTATTCCTTCACTTGGCATATCTTTGCGGAATAAATATAGCGACTGAAGTCACCTCTACGTAAATCTGGCTAACAACAAAGTGGCTGGCAATTTAATTCTACTGAATTAAGTGCATGTATATCCTATCCTGAACTTACGTACAGGTACGGTTTGGTTGGGACGAATTGGAAAACTTCTAAAAATAAATCAGCCACTTTCAAGGCCAGCTGCTTTATTACCTTTTTCATTGTATCTGAGAGAGTTTACCAATTCCTATTGGTCAAGAGCCCGCGTAGGTAGTTTTAAACCGCTGGTAAAACACCGCTGCGTTCTGCGCCACGTCGCGCAGTACGCGCCACGTCGCGCAGTACGCGCCACATGCGCACCAATTTCCATATACATATAAGGAGATTTTTAGCACTACGCGTGCGAGGTACATACCAAAGACGTGGTATGTCGAATTTTTGATTGTTTTTTGTTTTATGACGACATCAAAATGCCTTCGGGAGAGGGGGGTAAGTTGCCCCGCTTAATTCCCCCCCCCCCCCTGTGGATACGCCATTGTTTTAACAGTGTAGTTGCGTATCCGTGATGATAAGACTTTTTTTCATACGGCGTAAAAGCTCACATAGAGAGTATACAGTAGAGTTTGTGAAATTGCATCACTCATTATACGCACTGAACGCTAAGTTGTCTTTTCCTGACGCATTATGACGGGCACTTGGATTTTCAACCGTACCTTTTCGTTGTAAATGCGCCCGGATGCGTCGATGGAGAGCAGCAGCGTGGACATGTTACCAATAAAGAGCGCGTAGAAGGTGGCGCCTATCATCATGCTGAGTGTGGCGCACCACATCTCCGTCAGGTTATGAGGGGGATGCTGCCCGAAGCCAATGCTCAACATGTGGCAGATAGCCTTGAAGAAGGACCATGAATACTGCTCCCACTTGCTGGCATTCTGCGAAAGTCATAATATGTTGAGAAAAGGTGTAAGCTGTGTATTTGTGCTCCCAGATGTTTCAAGGTAACATAAATATTTTGCGAAAACCAAATTAAATGGGTGACGTTTGGGATGCTCAATTGTGGCAGCAAACCGTGCACACTGGTCCTTTTCTGTTGTTTGTGTCATTTCTGAACATGCGCACATAAGTCATTGGCTTATAACATAACATGACGCAGCAATTGAAAAGGACCGGTGTGTTTGCTGCCACCGTGCGTCTCAAAAGTCTCCCATTGCATAAGTGCCTTTTCGGTCCGGTTTTTTGGTTGGTTTTTTTTGGACAGCGCAATGGACACAAAACAGATAATCGTATAACCATATAAACGGTATGTTAACCGTGAAGCCGTGTAACCAAGGCAGCCTTAACGACGTCATCAGGACCTGGGGGCCAATTTCATAGAGCTACTTAAGCACAAAATTTGCTTAAGCACAAAAACGTCTTGCTTAATAAAATCAGGTTACCGGCCAAAACTCCATGCGATTGTTATGCTAAGTAACAACAGCTAAATACCAGTCACAAGCAATGTACATCACATGGAGTTTTGGCCGGTAACGGTTTACCTAATTTTACTAAGCAATGTTTTTTCGTGCTTAAGCAAATTTTCTGCTTAAGCAGCTCTATGAAATTGGGCCCAGATCCACACTGGGGGGGGGGGGGACACACACACACACAAAACCTCAGACACACACACAAAACCCGCCAAGTGCATCAGTAACAACGTGCTGCATTACCTATTATGTCCGCCTGTCCGCAACAATCGAACTAAAACAAAATCTGGCTGGCCTGACCCCCCCCCCCCACCCCCCTGCAAAAAAAACCTGGATCCACCCCTGTCAGGGTGGTGTTTTTCATGCCATTACCCTTCACGATATTTCTTTCATCAGTTTGGGTATTGCCTTTTAGAGTCTGTTAACCTTGGTGACCAATTTTTTTTGGGGGGGGGGAGCTGAACACTATTTTAAAAAAATCGCCACAGATTTCTTCCCTTTTTCCCATTAGGAATTTCCAGATGATCCAAAGAGGCCGCAGTGGAATTTTGAGTCTGACTAACCTCGAGCCCGCTGATGACGACCCAGCTGTCCCTTGGGAACCCCTGGAAGAACGGAACCAGAAACTGCATGCAGCCGTTCCAATGGATGATCACGAGCACCAGGAGAACGAGGTTGGTAATGCGAATTAAGGCGCCCTCCACATTCAAAATCTAAAAAAAAAAAAGGCGTTAGGGAGCATTTAGAATGATGGTGTGTGCACGTGATACGTATGCGCATGGGAAAAATGGTAGCTGGTTAAATTATTAATTATGTGTGGTTATTTCACCAAAACTACATAGGCCTATATAAACTTAACATTTGGACTGTGCCAGATGATTATATTACACGCAAAAAGAAGATTTAACAAGCAACTTTCCCCGAGCTGCATATACGTATGCATAATGGTCCCTATTTGCATTTGACTGCTGAGCCAAAAATGTCATGTCGCTAAACGTTCAACTTGTAGTTGTGTCGCAGTGAAATGTTGGATGTAATTTTGTTTGGAAGTAAAAAAAAAATGTAGGCGCCGGTATTTTGCACAAGATGTCAACATCAAAGCTTTTATCAGAAATAAGTGGAATCTAGTTTGTAATTTGTCAGGAGATTTCACAAAAGGAAAAAAAGAAGCAGATAACTTTCAAACTTTGAATTGAAGACGTCTCGCACCTACAATCTCCAATCATATGTTTTTGGAAGAACTGCAAATCGTTCAAAATGCAAATTTCTTTCGTAAGCGGTTTAAATCCACGAAGTCGATTTCATTTTCCAGCATGCAGAATGGCTACATTGGGTACATTGGGAGAATCAAATGGATTATACTGGTAAAGTCATTTTGACCGGTTCTGTAAAAAAAAAAATCTAATTTTTTTGAGAGAAGAAAGAAAGAAGCGGATCTACCTCTTCAAGACGGTGGACGTAGCGCAGCAGACGGGTAAGACGGAGCAGTCGCAAGACACTCAAGATTTTGGCCAATCTAAGAAAGGAACAGGTTTCATAAAAACGCCACATAATTGTGTTTGATGAAAAGTGCAGTAGGATAGGCAAGTTTAACATTGCAAGAGGAGCAGTTGTCTTGAAAACATAGAATCACAGATGAAGCATCAAAAACAAAACTGCCAAAATACAGTATTACAAAAATGAATGTGACAGATGGAACGTTCCGTGGGACGCTCCATCTATCACATCATGAAATTATTCTTACTATTGCACTCGCAAACATTCATTATTTGTATCCTATTTTGGCAGTTTCTTTTTTGAATGCTTTTGCAATTATGGCGTTGATTACCTTTGATCTCTGATCCTTTATCCTACTTTTTGGTATAATGTGACAGATTATACCGTCGCCGACGTTTCTAAAACAACAAATATTTGCCACAACGTGCTACCTGATTGCCCGAAGTTTCAGCGCAGTTTGGTCGTAGTCGGAGTCACCGCGGAAGAGCAGGTAGAAGTAATCCATGGGGAAGGAGGATGGTAGATCGATCAAGAACCAGCCGCGGAGATACTTACAAGCGATCGTTCGACGGTCCAATATGACCTATACAGAGAGATGTTTGAAATGAAGAATTTTTAGCTTGATGTAACTCTCTCTTGAAGACAACTTTCTAAAACGTTCTGCGTTATGACCCAACGGATATGGGGAAAATTCACAGACATGAGAGAATCAAACAATGTTACCTCCTCGTTTTGATGATGAACAATACCGGTGAAGAAGTTGAGCACGATGTCTGCCATGAAGAAGCTATCCGTGACGCAGTTAGTAATGCTCCACTGCAGGGAGAAATCCTCACTGAAGAAGGCGATGTTGATGGGGAGAATGACCAAAGTGATCGCCATCAGCAGGACCATGAACAAATCCCAATACCATCTGGATCACGGTTGGAAAAAAAGAAATCCTGACTTGTTGCATGCAGAGATCAACTCAAGACTTCTGAAGTTGCAAGGGATGGAGAGAATTGAATTTCATGTTGAGGCAAGCTTGTGACCGAAGGTACGCGCATACGATTTGTGTACTAGCTTGCAAGTCGTGGAGTACTGTGGCCTCGTGTTTAAGGGCACTGGATTCGTGGTCTGCGGATAAAGCTGCGGGTTAATGTGGGTTCGGGTCCAGCCTAGGGTCATGGTGCGTGTGCCCTTGTGCAAGGCACTTTGTCACTCATTGCTTCTCTCCACCCAGGAGTAAATAGGTACCTGTGAGGGCAGATCTGCATCGCTCAAATCTGCATGGCGACGCCCTTGCACAAAACAGGCACTTATGGTATACCTGAAGTTGCTGAACGGGTGAATGACGAAGCTCTTGATATCCTGCTGCCGCTGCTGCTCCTCCTTCAGCGCTTTCTCGCTGCGATAGATCTTCTTGACGAAGTCCTTCTCTGCGGCATGAAAGAAGTTTTCCCTGGTGAAGGCCGCGCCGAGGGTTGCAGACACGGACGAGCGGCGAGGCCTGGGTGCGGTGGCCGTGGCGGGAAGGGAGGTCAGGGACTGGAGCACGTCCAACTCGCTCCTGGCCCGGTCCGCTGTCAAAGAAACCACCTCAGGAAATTGTATTACGTTCTCCGATTCATTTACCAGGGTAGATGAATCAGTTTTCAAAGAACGCGTGCTTCTTGAGGCCCTGGCTGAGAAAATCATCTCTCAAGTTAAATGATGTTTTGGGTCTCCCCAAAAAAATTGTGCTAGCAGATAACCTGGTGTGTAACAAAGAAAATGCAATCTTCAAAGCAAGACTTGCTAAGTCGTCAGTAGCATCACTTGCTAACTCCTTTGCAATTTAAATCAACAATGGACATTATTTTCGAACGATACCTTGAACGTCCCCATCGACCTCCAGCACGTGACGATCCGATTTGCCACGGCCACCGGCATGACCGACTCTTTCCTCCGGACGTGGATCAAGGGGCGAGACCTTGTTGATCACGATCCAGGGGCGGCCCGTCAAAGACATGTATCTGATCTATCGCCGGCCTGCCTTTCCCACAATTTTCAAGCCTGCACCACCAATCAGAATCGTGGGTCCACAGTCACAGGTGCTGCATTGCAGATGGCGGTGATGCTGCGAGTTTGTGGACTGTACTGTCTAGAAATTCTGGCAAAGGGCCAGTCCGCCTCCTTTGATAACTTCCACGACCGGAGTCATCCTGTCCCCATTTTCAAATGACAGAGAAGATGCACTGTATTCCCAACCATAGAGCTGTAGGACCTCCAATTGACTTGCGAAAGCCTTCCGTTGCCGGGGTAATGACATTCTTTCGCGCGCTGTATGGTGTAAGTGACGTCACAATCAAAATGCATATTCAAACATGACGTCAACAAAAGAGACCTATCCTGCGCGCAGCTTGCAACTTACCACCACGCCCCGAGACAATGATTAAGCCCATAGAGTTATATTTAAAACTTAAGCCCCGCCCAAGGGTGTTTCGACCAATCACAGCCGATGTAGCGTGAAATCCGACTCCATGATGATGGACTCATTGGAAGCGTTGCGCATGCATCTGTCGGTGGGGGCGCTGTTCAAAACCCACGATGTACATTCGGGCAAATATGGTGCTTTGCGATACATGCGCGAAATGTTAAGAAAAGGCATCCGTACCAGCCGATTGAACCCAAAAAAAACACAACTTATTTTTAGAAAGGGCACTTGTTAACAAAAGAAAGGCACTTTTTCACAAATATTGGGGGTGGGGGTAATAGCTGGTGAAAAAAAGGGCATTTGAATGGAAAAGGGCAGTCTTTAAAAAATATTGCCCCCCCCCCCCCCCCCAGCTGGCTACGCCTATGAGCAATCATGCACCATACGGAAAATTGTAAAAAAAAATTCTAATGAAGGTTTCATTGGTGCATGGCTTTTCATTTAATATTTATTACCTGGTCTGTAGCTTGTAAACTCATTGACTTTTTTTGAACTGTGTTGAAATTCTTAGGCCAAAAAGCCAACGACAATGTTTTTATCGGGCATTCAGTCAAAGGGTTGTATCTTGAAACGGCAACCAGTATATAGTATGAACTTTTGTTTGACGAGGGCGAGTCATGGCTGCGCGACCCTAAAATGTTTGTTTTTGATTGAATGAGTTGAAGTTTCTCGATGTAATGTGGTTCAATAACTTCCAAGGGTCGATGCTATCAAATCAAATGTTGCCAACTATCAATCGAGGGATAATAAGTTCAGCGTTATTTTGGTACCAAAAGGATAATCTTAAAGTGACCATAAGACCATGCTTCACGGCCAAGGGCGGATCCAGAACACGATTTTTAGCCCCCCCCCAAAAAAAAAATGGTCCCCCCAAAAGTGGGTCCAAAAATTTACGGATTAAAAAAAAATGTTTAATTCTAGATGCTCTGTGATGCTATTTCAAATTTCATGTTTTTAGGAAAAGATGATGGTGTAAGGCCAACGCAGAGGATGCCTTTTTTTGCGACGTCTTTTGAAAAACTACTTGGGGGGGGGGGGGGAGGGGGCACGGCCCCTTTGGCCCCGACCCCCCCTGGACCGGCTTTGCCTTGCCGGCCCGTTACAAAAAAAATAAAAAATAAAAAATAAGTTGCGTCACGTCACGCCGTGTGTTCGTTTGCATAAATACGAACTTCCGGATTTCTACTCAATATTTGTTTTCTCATAAAAAAAATATAAAACTTTGGCCAAACCTAATAACAACACCAGCAAACATTCACACGATTGTGTAATATTTATTTACTTTGAAAACTTTATTTTTTCCCTTGTGAAAAAAAAAAATCAACGAAAATGCTGCTTATTATCGTCCCCGGCGCGCGCTAAAGTCCTTTTCGTGCTCTGTGTGAATTCTTTATGGTGCGACCCGACTTGACCGTGAGGTCAGTGAACCCGTCAAGGCGAGACGGTCTGGTACCTAATTGTCAGTGTGTAATATGCGCGGAAGATCATTTTTCGTCTGGTACCAAAACAGCTGGAACGCAGGCTGGGCGAGCGGGAGAGTGGTGGCAAGATTTCTACTTTTTCAATTTTGAGCAGTTTTGTTCATAACTAGCAAACGAACGTGATGGTGATGAGGTAAAATGGTGTACATACAGTGGTAAGTACGTGAGTAAAGTAGCCCAGGTTGGACGACGTCTCCATTGCATTAAGAGTACGAACTACGACTGACTATTTTTGGGGGGCCTTAATTGATATTGACTATTGTGCTCAACATTGGTGTACATGATACATTTCAAGTTGTTTTGCTTGAATGAAGTTTTTGTACGGTAGCTTACATGTTGTAATTCTTTAATTTATACAGGGTGTCCCCCAAAAATGTCCCTCTGGAGGATGTACAGAATTCTCGTAAATTATGGAGAAATTTCAATTTCAAATCCAGTTAGAATTGATGAGTCCAAATTCAACTCACTCCAAACATTTGTCTTTAAATCTTGTGTGAAGTTTTGCTGGATTCGGTTAAAAAAGCATAAGGCCTCAAAAAAGTCTGCTGTTTCTTGTGTACGTGTGGAGCTTTCCCCAAAAGTGGTGCGGCGACTTTTTGTTTTGTTTTCCCCCTACTTTTTTAAATTTAAGGCCATAATTAAGGCTTGAGACTTACATACATACTTACGATCTCGACCGACACAAACATACTTCAGGAAATTTGGATAGTCAAGACAAAAATCTGAGAAAGAGGGAGTAATTACGTTATAACTTCGACCTTACAGCGACATCAACATCGTGCATGCATTTGTAAGCTGCCAGGCTGGTCATTAGTCTGCTCCCTTACATATTGTGCCAATTAAAAAGCGTTTACAGGTTCCAGGTACACAACCATCACTCCCTCAGTCTGGCTTCAAGATGCACAGTTACAAAATTACGACACCGTCTGCAAATGTGCCCGACTACATTTGTAGATTTATTGCCCCCCAAAAAAGGAGTCCAGAGAAACCACATTAAGCGTATACATGTACTCGATCGTAAACCCCATCTAAAGCACATTAAACTTGTGCAGCAGCAGGATTCCAGTCAAACCAGTGAGTTTGGCAGATTTTGAGACATCATCTAATATTGAAAAAAAAAAAAACCTTTTTAATTTTGCTGAAGCGCACGGCTACGGCAACGCGGGAGCAGACCAGAAACCATAGACTTTTTTTTGGCCTTGCCCTTAGCATCTACATTGTATTTTGGGAGGTTATGAATGGCTATATTTGTCCAATACTAACATCCTTTTCAAGCATGCCCTACTTTAATGATGATAATCATTATGACAACAGTCCTTAAATAAGGGAATAAATGTGTGCTCCGGAGGTTTTTATCACTCGTTTAATACCGCTTAGAGTCTGGGTGCTGATAATTACCCGAGCCGGAGGCGAGGGTAATTATCAGCACCCAGACTCTAAGCGGTATTAAACGAGTGATAAATACCGACCGAGCACATATTTATTCCCATTCATAAATACCTTATCCGTAAAAAAATTTCAAATAATTCGTTCAAAAAATCCCGATTTTGTTCAACAAGTTCACTTCATACTTTTTGAAACATCCCTCTAGCAAAATAATGGAGTGTTCAGCTGGCGAGTAAGATGTAAACAACCCTTTTATGGAGATTGACGCGCGCGTAACATGTTCTGCGCGATGTCACGCAGAACGCACCTGGGGCGTTGCGTTTTGAATTTAAAACTGTAAACTTCTGACTCGCTTGTTGTGTTGCGCATGCCTACGTGAGGATTGTGAATGTTCAACCAATGAAACGGTAAGAGGCACTGGATTTTTAGGAGTCCACATTTTATTGTGACACTGGAAAAGTGTTTAAGACCAGCTAGCCATGTCTTTATCATCCGTTTAATACCGGCCACGTGACGGGCTCTCGACCAATAGGAATAGCTAAACTGTCTGAGGTATTTATGAATAGAATTTACGAGCTAGGATGACAAATAAATACTGTAGTATTATTCTAGCCAGCATTGTCACTTGATTCTTTAAACAGATAATCCTCTAATTGTGTACCTGAACAGCACTTTCATATCAACAATGATCAAGAATTAGGCTTTTTCTTTTGTCATTCATGTAGATAAATGGGCTTGTTAAATAGAGGACACACACGTTGCTTTTTGATAACTTCATCATTTATTAACTGCAATGTTTTATCTTGCAAATGTGAACACAAGGTTAATAATAATTTCCTCTGTGCCATTCACGCCATGTGTGGTCCCCGAAAAAAAAGTACTTGAAAGAGGACGACCTAATTTTGTATATATTTCTGTCCATGCTATTTTCGAGGTTCATCCAGAAATAAAAATAGGTTCTTTTTGTTTGTTTTTTGTTTTCAAAAATAAGTAGCTGATTTGTTTTTTTATTAACGGAATCCAATTTTGCATGAAACATCAAACGAACAAAAATATCTACATTTAAGTATCCCTCTGCACTTAAAATTTTGAATAAGTTACAGCCCAACAATACCGGTTTGTTGGTTCTTGCAAAGTGGACTGGTTCCTGCCATCTATCAGGATCGAATCAATAATGGAGAGACCCAAGAACCAGTCTACTTCATGTAATTGCATGATGAATTTGGTTGCACGGAGAATTAAGCCAAAATGAAACCTTTTTTATCAGATTGTTTCAGACTCCCAAAATTGAAAAAAGGTATTTCCTCATTAAAAATAAAACCCAACAAATTAAAATTAGTTGGAAGAAATAAAAATTAAATGTCTCATATTATACCAAATTTTCGAATATTCGATCATCAATTGAATATTCGAATAACTTTTTGCCGGTTTGAATCTTCAAAAAGAAAAAAACTATGCAGATGCGCACTTGTGGAGTCATTTTAATCATAAAGTTGCATTTTTATAGTCAGACGGTAACTATTTGATTGCATTCATCAGCAATAGTTTGTTATAATTCATTAACAATGAAGGCACAAGATTTCTACTCATATCTCTGTTGAACAAAGGCAAATGATTTATACATGTAGATTAGGTTAAAGGAAATAAACTGCAAGGTTATAAATGTACATACACCAGTACTGTAGGCCTATGATGGAGAAGTCATACATGTGTCTCATGGAGATAACTTTTCTTTTTTTTATTAGCGAACAATTAGTCTAGATTTGTCTTGGTTGAGAGAAGTCTTGTTGATGATTGATTCTAAGTTTGCCTTGTCGTACATAGTATTTTTTATCTTCTCAAAAACCTTACTTAATACAGGTTATACTCATTTTGGGCAATTCCACGGTTACTCACGTTACATTTTTGATGTACTTTTGAGTTTCCTTGGGCTGTAATTGCGTACCTTACTGAAAAGGTTTAGTAACTGTTATCACCATGGTTAATAGAGTATACCTACATGTAGACCTACCTAAGCACCAAGATGACATCCAGACAAATTTGTTATGTATGATAAACAAGACGCACAAAATCGGTAACTCACGTTATATTTTCTTAATACACAAGTCAATGAGGTCTCTGTCTGCAACTTATCCATTCTAATTCCTATAGGTCCATTTTGTTTATTGAGCAATTAAACGGCGTTTGTACATGCTTTCGTAGTATGGCTGTGCATCTTGAATGAATCGGCAGAGGTCTTGGTCATCTTGCTCTTGACTTTTGGATGAGCTGTCGCCCGTCTTTGCACGGAAGCAGGTACTCTCAAAAGCATTCTTGAAGTAACCCACGGTGCTGGAGTAGGCCCACAGAGACTTCGGCATGCTCCAGTTGGAAGGCAGATCTTTGATGGGATCCCAGTGAAGCAAGCTCTGGCTGAAGGGCAACCCTGTTGCTTCACACAACAGCTGTAGGGATTTGGCAGGCTGAGCCATCAGGTCTTCAGCATCAAGCACAACTGCTGTTTCATGTGGACGAGTTTTCGTGACAAACTCATACAGCTCGTCCATCATTTCAAACTGGTTTGGACCAAGCAAATGAGCTCTTTTCATTTCGGATGTCGCAAATCCATACACTTTGTTCAGGGATGGGATAGTCTTTGCAGGGTATCGGATCAAGAAGATGTGCGTGTAGCCGTGAGGAATAACGTCCATTCGACGGCCTAACATGTTAGGCATCTCTTTGCCAAGAATCAGAGATTTTCCTGGGTAGTCCTGCTCATACATGGCTTTCACTGACTGGAAGGTGACGTCTGGCTCCATGTTGACCAAGGACTTTTCTTGAGAGCTTTCATTGACAAGTGCATCAGGTACAGTGTTCCAGCCTGCAGCCATGTAGTACTCGAAGATGACCTGCGTGTCTGGAATCTGGGAGAGCGCTCTGACGAGAACGGTGGAAAGGGATCGTGTGACGGCCCAGATGAGGACCCTCTTTTGGTTGGGCTTGGCTTGCTCTGACATGATTGTTGGTTAAGTATTTCTGTCTTCAGTTGCTTGTAAAAACGCGAGACGGTTCCGCTGTGCTTCGACAAGCAAAGAATAAAAACGAGACAAGTCAAATCTACATGTAATAAAGCTTGTCTCAGATGGTGCTTAATTTTATTCAACTAATTCAAAATAAGGGGACAATGGTGTACTGTTTTAAAGGGTTCATGAAATGAATTCTACTATTGAACATTTTTTGTGCAACTTTCGACTCCTCTGAAATGTATGAAAAAAACCTTTGATATCCCTTTTTTTATGTTTATTGAAAAAAGTGCACTTCTTTAAACTTTTATACATTTTCCATACTTTTCCAGACAACTGAGGGCGCTGTTGCTGTGATGTCATTTCAGGAAGACACTGTTCAGTTTAGCAAAAGCACGCGCGCCATGGCACGCGTGCGGTTACCAGCAACAGCACGCGCGCCATGGCACGCGTGCTGTCTGGCGCCAGACGACGGCTGATTTACGTTAGTAATTCTGCATTTTCATTGGTCAATTCACAACGGGTAATGCATTATGCATGTCTACCAAATCGGTAGACAAATGTAAAGAAAAACATCAGCGTTCTCCACGAGATGGTAAAGGCCCTCGCGGCTTCGCCGCTCGTGCTAGTCTTTTTACGTGTCAGCATCCGGGGTGCGTCACGTGTCCGGGTAAGCGCGTGGGACTTGACTAAAGGCTATTGCCGTCAGGGCTTCGGGCTTTGTGCTCACAGTAGCATGATTACTTCTGATCAAGCTGCATCGCCAAATTCTCACTCTCAGCTCTTACTCAAAGTTGGCAGCCCTGCCTATATGTACCACTTTGAAATAAGCACAACACTGTGACACAGTAGAATCAGAAATGAAACAAAAAATGCTTACCTTGGGACTGTTGAGATGGCAGCAATTTTAATACAGGTTCTAACTTGTGTCTCAGACTGTATGTGTGTCTTGCATGTTAGCTTTTCCAATTTATAGGCTATGGTTTCAGATATTTCCAAGTACCGCCCAGTACAGTGTTCATGACAATGTACAGTACAGTTTATATAGATCCATATATGATCACACTGATTATAGCATACAATGTACGTCAGTCACAAGAAGGCTGTAACCTGTAACCTTTGAAATCCAGCTGGCAACCCACCACGCCCACAGTGTCAGTTTTGTTGTACCGATACTAGTTTACTCATTATTGTTCATTAATGAATCCGTAAAACTAGAGTGCTGGGGCAGTGTAGGACATGTATTAAAGGGAATGTACATCATTGGGTTTTGCTGTAATTTTCAGAAATGAATTATTTGAGGGGTTAGTATAATAGATCAAATATTGTTACACTGACATGTTTGCAGTTTTGTGTTCGGAAATGCTGAAAAAAACAAGAAAAACAAGAATGTTCAAGTACTCTGGTTCCCTGACTCCACTAAAGATAATGGATCAATTTATAGTTGCCAGAAAATTGTAAGGGAAGGGAACCAGTGTAGCTGGCCTGCACCCGTTCATGAACATGTAACCAATAGCAAACACAATTTGGACTGAAAAAAAAGGTACATTTGGAGCAGAAGTTGAAAAATAGTTAGGTTTTTCCAACGGTGGTCGGCCGACCACCGTTGGAAATGTATACAAAAATACAGTTTTCTTGAAAATGACTTCACACCAGGTACCATAATTTTACAGGATGCTTTAGACTGTCATTTACCAACATCCTAGTAAGGTATTTCGTAAAAACTTTTTAGTAGTTTTGTTTTTCGATGTTTGCAAATGTATCCGTAAAACTAGCTGGGGCAGTTTAGGACATTAATTACAGGGAGTATTAATAGGCAGGGCAGTTTGGGGCGGTACAGACCTAGCTTTGTTTTTGTGATGTTTGCAAATCTTGTAATTCTCTTTAAACATAGGACGTGTACAATACCTCATTTTTTTTAACCCCCCCCCCAAAAAAAAATAAGCAAAGGCAAAAAAAACTTGTTTATTATATTTATTTATCTGTTTTTTGTTTGTTGGGGGGGGGGGGAGGAGTAGTTGGAGAATTGACGGCATGTATATTGCTGTGAATTGTTAGTGCCTCATTCCTGAAATTTAATTTAATGAAGAGCTAATCAGATATGAGACGGATTACACAAATAAAACGGAGGGCATAGCGGGGGGGGGGGGGGGGGGGGGGGGGGGGGGGGTTAGAGAGGGGTCGGGTGTATTACAGTTGAAGGTCCAAACAGCAAATAATTGTATGGTTGCATATCGTACACATTTATTTTTGCAGTCATTCATCAGAAGCTGAAAATCAGTTGCAATGTACATGTACCTGTACACTGAGACAAATGACATTAATACTACATTTACTATGGCTTCTATTGAAATTGCACATTGAAGGTGGCACTTGGTTTGTGATCAACTTCTGTTAATTTGGATTGAACACTCTTTAAAAACAGTAGGAAAGTGAAACTTTAAGAAATTTAATTTATACATTATTTCTTTTAAATGGCACTTGTTGGATCTTTGTAAATTACATATATTTTATTTACATGTAATTGCTGAATGGAGCACTTAGAGTGTACTTATGTATAAATTGTATAAAGATTTAATTTTGGGAATACATGCAATGACACTTATAAAGCGCATTGCCAAGGGATCGATGCAGAGCCCTAATTATAATTCCCCCTGTTCATCAGGCCACGAGACCCTTTTTCTGCAGCAGCTCAGTCAGCACATCTGGTCTGTAACCCTCACAGGTACCCATTGATACTCCTGGGTGGAGAGAGGCAATTGTAGTAATGTGTCTTGCCCGTGAACACAATCACCATGTTGTCCATCAGGGTTTAATTAACCTGTGTATCATAGCACATTGGTCAAACACTGTAAACTAATGATTTTCTCTTTAGAAAAACAGATTTGAGTATCCATACAAACTAACACCTGTTCTGCATCACACACCTGTGGTAAAATGAGTTAAATACATGTAATTTCCCCTCTCTCATGTCACTCAAAAAGTTATATACAATGCATGTGTAATTTGACCCCCAAATAACTCCTGCCCCCCCCCCCCCCGATTCCGCCTGTGCACTCAAACAGTTGAACATAATTGATAGCAAATCTACATTTAGTGCTTTGAACTGTGGCAGATTTTGTCTGTGGAAGGAGATACTGGCTCTAAGAACTTGTGTGCAAGTGCAATTTACACGTACACGTGTTCATGTACGTAGACTACATAAAATTAGCAGGCCTTCAGTTGCTAAGAGGATGGAAGTTGAATGACACTTGTTCCCCATGATTGCTTCCTACATGTCCCTAAGCTCTGGTGGGGGGACAGATGGGGGGGCAGGGTGGGTAGCGCCACCACTGTTGGGACGTACATATCTCATTCCCTTCGTGGACAGAAGCTTTAAAATAAAAGTAAACAATGCTTATTTAACATTTTTTGAATTGACTACCACAGTTTTGTTGATTGGTTCAATGTTTGAGCTTTACCATGTTTACTGTCCACCAACTTCAGGGCTGCCAACTTTGAGTAAGAACAGTGAGAATTTGGTGATGGAGCAAAGCGAGTACGAAGCCCCAAAGGCCTGGGCAAGCGGGCCCCAAAAAATATTGGATCCTAGACACTCTGAAGTGCTATCCTGAGGCAATTTCTGACCGCTTTAACCAATTTTAATCAAGACTATCCTTTAAACATCATTTTAGAGTTTGGAGTCAATCGGCTAATCTGAGCTATAGTTTCTTCATTATTTTTTTTTGTATCTTATTTATTTTTTTAGCGTGGTCATAAGAGTGTGAGAATAACCTGAAATGTGCGTGTCTCACGCTCAGTGTGTGAGAGTTGGCAGGCCAGCATCTTTAAGTGTCCAAATTTCAGCCCATTTTACTGAACAGTCAAACGGCGTTTGTACAAGTGTTTGTAATAAGGCATAGCATCCTGAATTAGTTCACAGAGTTCTGGATCAACTTGCTCTATCCTTTTGGCCGAGCTATTGTCCTTCTTTGCACGGAAGCAGGTACTCTCAAAAGCATTCTTGAAGTAACCCATGGCGCTGGAGTAGGCCCACAGAGACTTCGGCATGCTCCAGTTGGAAGGGAGATCTTTGATGGGATCCCAGTGAAGCAAGCTCTGGCTGAAGGGCAACCCTGTTGCTTCACACAACAGCTGTAGGGATTTGGCAGGCTGAGCCATCAGGTCTTCAGCATCAACCACAACTGCTGTTTCATGTGGACGAGTTTTCGTGACAAACTCGTACACCTCGTCCATCATTTCAAACTGGTTTGGACCAAGCAAAGCTCTTTTCATTTCGGGTGTCGCAAATCCAAAGATTTTGTTCAAAGAGGGGATAGTCTTTGCAGGGTTACGGATCAAGAAGATGTGCGTGTAGCCGTGAGGAATAGCATTCATTCTACGGCCTAGGTAGTACGGCATCTCTTTGCCAAGAATCAGAGATTTTCCTGGGTAGTCCTGCTCATACATGGCTTTTACTGACTGGAAGGTGACGTCCGGCTCCATGCTGACCAAAGAATTATCTTGAGAGCTTTCATTGACTAGTACATCTGGTGCTGTGTTCCAGCCTGCTGCTACGTAGTACTCGAAGATGACCTGAATGTCTTGAATCTGGGAGAGCGATCTGACGAGAACGGTGGAAAGGGATCGCGTGACGGCCCAGATGAGGACCCTCTTTTGGGTGGGTGTGGGTAGCTCTGACATGATTCTTGGTAACTATGGCTGCCTTCTGTTCCTTCTTGCCAAATATGAGATTGTGAGAACCGCTGCTGAAGTGTCAGGATAACACCTGAAGGAGGAACAAGAGTACATGTACATGTACATGGTTAGAAGTTTAGAAGTTGTGATGTCATTCAGAGCAGAAATTTGGCCACAGCTGTTATTGGAAACGAGAGATAATGTGGTCAAATGGTCAAGGAGACAAGAAATCCACGGATGGTGTCAAGTGGTCAGGGAAAAAAGAGTATACATGTACCGGTTCATGAATGATGTGGTCAAACTGGTAGCGAAACGAGAGGTACGTGGATGATAGTGCCAATTTGTCAGGGAAACAAGATATCGGCCTACATGGTCAATGGTCCGGAAACGACAAATACATGGATGATGTGGTCAGTTGGTCAGGGAAACAAGAGATACATTGATGATGTCAAGTGGTCAAGGAAACACAAGATGCATGAATGATGTCAAATTGTCAGAATAATAGAAATACATGGATGATGTGGTCAGTTGGTCAGGGAAACAAAAGATGGATGATGTCATTTGGCACATTGCTACACACGCATGCTCCGAGTGGCTCTCAATGTATCCTGGGAGGACCACGTAACCAATGACGACCTATATGGCAACCTCCCTAGGATTGGAGACAAAATCGCAGCCCGTTGGATGCAGTTAGCAGGCCACTGTTACCGGCACCCGGAGCTGAAGGCACACAAAGTCATTCTCTGGAAACCAACCCGCGGACACAGGAGACGAGGAAGATCGAAAATGTCTTACTTGGGGTGCTGCAAAAGGACATCGGTGTATCAACAGACGAACTGGCCACCCTCATGCAAGACCGAATTACTTGGAAAAGGCATACTCGAGCCCGCCTGTGGGCGACCGAGTTAGTGAGTGATATTGGAGGATGTGGTGAGTTAAACCAGAGATGATGTGATGTGTTCAGGAAAACCAGAGTATACATAGATGATGTTGTCAAATGGTCAGGGAAGCAAGATACATGTACATGGATTATGTGGTTGAAAACGTCAAATGGTCAAGGGAAGAAGAGATTAATGGATGAGTTGGTCAAATGGTCAGGGACTGGGTCCGGAGTTATGTTCTTGCAGTGGCTTGACACAACCTGACAAATGGAAAACAAAATAAATCTAGGGGCATGATCCTCAGACAAACTCTTCTTTAAAAGATGAAAGAAAAATTCTTACTTCTTTAATTGTATCGAGATGACAGGTTTGTTGGAAAGATGGTTTTCTCCCAAAAACTAACCACTGGAATATACCGGTATGGTTAGATGAGTCTCAAATCAGATGTTTGCTGCTGACTCTCAAACTTGCTGAACGTCAAACTTGCTGTTCTTCTGAAGAGTATATGCGTTCATAATGAGTGTCCATCCCTATTTATATGTTATTGAATATCAGATGGTCACTGATTTTTGCCCTGATAATTTTGTTTATATTTAAAATGGCATAAGCAGGCACCTATAAATGCATTTTGGCCCATGTGATTGGCTGTATGATTTTCTTTTTCCTTTGTGTCTGTGTGGTCCGATATGAGACAGGCCAGCTCGGCCATGCCATTTCCCCATTTGGATACCATCAGATTTGTTATCTGTGAACTCTAAGTTTGTTTGAACTTGAACGACTCATCAGACAGCACCGCAATCTTGTTTATTCTGATTTTTTCTGAAACTGCCAACTGTGTCAACATTACTCATAGCCTATCTGTAGATCCCCCCCCCCCCCCAAATTGGCAAACAAACCCTATGAACACTACTGGCTGTGCACCATGCCACTCAAAGTCCATGCTAGAGGAATGGAAGGCAACTCATGATCTGTCGCTCCTCAAAAGTCGTCTCAAGTTTGTACTAGAGTTTCCACTTATAAATAAACTCTACCGGTACATTAACTGCCACCTTTGCAGAATTTTTGGTAAGATTCTGTGGATGACTCTAGCTTTTTTGCCCTTTTTCTTTGCGAGTTTGGAATAATCCAAGGTGCATTTAATTGTACCGTATCTATGCACAGGATCGGTTCAAACCAGAAAGGGGACATTTCCCTTCTCAACAATATTTCTAAAGTTATAAATTTCCCCCCAGAATTGGCTTTTTTCTAACTGGCATTGATGCCATAACTTATGGACTATTTTATTGACATGCAAACGGCAAAACCAAAACCAAACTGGTAGTCATAGAAATGGTCAGAGTCTGTCAAAAAGGGGATGGTGACCCAATACCCGGTACCTGTGTATGATGTATAGTGCATTTTGTAGTTACATTAGATGAAACACTACGAAAAGATGAAACACTTTCGATCGCTGGCTGTGCTTCGTGGTCATAGGGTATATGGCTGACTGCTAAAGGCACCTTTACATGTCTTTGGTTGACTACGTTGTAGTCGCGTCCTGCGCAATTCAGCTTCTCAGCTGGAGTAAGGATTATTAGCCTCCATTATAAAGCTGTATAGGGTCAGATCATTTGACGCCAAAGCACCATGTGACCATCTAGTTAATTTTTGTTGACCCGCCACCACTGCAGTAGGTAGAATTTTTCTCACATTAGTTCGCTTTCAGGAACATGTAATCTCCAGAAACCAAAACAATAATTTACCTAGAAGAAAAAAAAAACGTTCAAATGTATCTGCTCTAGAAAACCATCACATGTTCTCTCATGGAGTACACATGTACATGTACGTGTGCCAGCAGAAATCATAAAACTAATGAGGCAAAATTATTTCATCATGCAAAAGTTTGCATTGCCATGCAGCCCTCAATTAAACACCTGTACATGTAATAAATAGCAATGCGAAGCCAGAAGGCTAACAATTAAGGTGTACGGATTTACCGGTACATGTACAGTACCTGCAGGTAATTAAATGCCCACAAAGGGGCATATCATGCATGTACCCGTATCAAGAAATTCAATAAAAAAAGAAAGATTATTGCAATATACCGGTAGCCTATCCACAAGGAGTCTTCACCATTGTGCACATTCAGTATATGTTTCACATCAGGTCCGCACCAGCCAGCTGGCACTTTTGGAGTTTAACAGCGCCCTGTGCTCATGAACTTTCTGATGAATCAAGGCCACAGTAAATTTGTCAGGTTGGTACCAAATAGGAACAACATCTGCCAGAATAGTATTGCCTTGTTTGGGTTTGCAACCTTGTTGATGTCATGCACAGGATCATCAACAACGGGTTGCTTAAGTTTGTGCTTTAGTCAGTCTGTCCTGCACAATCCAATTTGCAAATGTAAGTATTCTGCGCAAACAGTACTGAATGATAATGTTTTTTTGGTGCAAAAAGGAACCGCAAACTACTTTTCCTTCCCGCCTCGCTTTGGCTACATTGAATTGAATGGGAAATAATCAAGATAGCCACAACATGATATGGTCCTCTGCATGATCATCCAACAGGAGAAATTTTTTTGTCTACAAAAAAAAAACCACGTACATCTACATGTACATTGTTGCACAGTACTGTTGGTACCAGTATGTCAGTAAATTGCTTGGAGACGCCAGATTGGACAGTGGATTTAGTTTTCTTAAATAACCTGAAATGTCCAAACCAAACATCTCTTTTAGACAGCCTAGCTTAGGGGCCATTCAAAATTTTAAATGTTTTAAAATTTCGATCTTTTTTCCAAATTGTGGGTGGGTGGGTCAAGCTAAATAAGTGAAAATCGAAATTCACTTTCCATGGAAAAAGGATAAAAAACAAAGAAAGATAGATCTTTTGACTTGCCTGAACTACGCGCAAATGTTCCGATATCGCGATGCGTGTTTCTTTTCCAACTTCGTCCCCTGTATGTACTGTCAGTGGCGTAGCCAGGATTTTTTCAGTGGGGGGGGGGGGGGGGGGGGGGGGGGGGGGGAGGGGGGGGGGGCTGGAACATTTCATGGGGGGGGGGCGTCATGTAGATCAATGATAATTTTTTTAGAAACTCAAAATCTCAGTGGGGGAGGGACGGGGGGGGGGGGGGGGGGGTGACAAGGTTTCATGGGGGGGGGGCTGTCGCCCCCACACGCCCCCCCCCCATGGGTACGCCACTGCGGGTCATACAGTTAAAGTTTATGTAAACTTGTATGAAAAGTCAAAGAAAAGTAACTCCCATGATCTATTTGACACCAAGTTTGTGTTAACATGCCGATAACGCCCTAAAAAATTATCCAGACAAATATGTTTATTTTGTAACATTTTATGTTCGTCTGTCGGTCTACTTTGTTTACTTTTAGGTACCTTCAATGGTACTGTGTTTAATTAACCTGTTCATTTGTTTAATTAAACTAATAACGCACATATAGTTGGCAAATATGGCACTAACAAGTTTGAGGTCGGCAATTTCGTCTTTAAAAATCTGGGTACGTCGGGTTACCGTTCACACAATTGTCCTGGAAACAACAGTACCAAAGTACAGAAAGTCGTACGCAAGAGCTCCCCAGCAAGTATCGCTGATGCCATTATGATTCCAAAATTTCTCACTGTGTCACACAGTGAAATATCTAAACAGCGTCGTTGTATTGTAAATGTTGTATTATTCTTGCACACTTTTTGCAAGTCGACATAGATATCCTTGAACCACTGCCCCTGCTTTGCACAGCAAGTGCACATGAATGAACGATTCGACTTTTAATCAAAGAAATTTCTATGTACAGTCACCAGACTCTATTCAGTAAAGTCCCCGTCAAAACGAAAGTAAACAATCCACGTGCATAACGCACGGCTACACCATTGTACAGTGTGGCAGGGACACCAACAAGTAACACAACAACTAAACATGTTTTAAAAAATTGATAAATATTCTGATTGAATTTCGTTAAAAGAACTAGACACACATGTACATGGTGTTCGAGTACATGTACATGCAAGTGCATGTACATGTACATGTTCAGTTTTTTATTAATCGAAATTAGGGGTGGGTGGGTGGGTCAAAATAATTTGGAAAAAAAGTCGAAATTTTAAAACATTGAAAATTCTGAATGGCCCCTTAGTGTTAATTTAAGTTGTTGTTTTTGCAGGTGCAAAGAAAGAATGTGCCATTACATTTCAAAACTGCTGCGTCTTGAAGATTCAGGAAAATTCTCAGCAAAGGAAGGGGGAAAAAAAGGCTAGGGAGGTTGGTAAATTCGAGCAATCAAAGTCAGAATGTTGCCTTTGTATTTTCCTGTGTGTTCTGGTCGTAGGCGTTGAATGCTGAGGACTTTGATATGGGGTGACCGCTGATTAAAGTTGTGTGCGTCATTGCGGTGACCTAAATTGTGTTCTTTCAAAGTCGCAAGGATTCCCTTTCAGTCTGCCTGTTGGTCTGGCCGGGCCATCAGGGTGTTTTTTAATGGCTTCATAAATTAATAGGGCAAGCTACTTATCACAAGTCAGTCTTTCGCAAGACAGTATGCGATAAGCTAAAGCAATAAGCTCATATAATTACTTCCATACATACACATTTGCAGCATTTATCAAAAAAACAAATTGTAAGATCCTGTTTAGTAGTGTTTGCTCTGCCGCCTAATTTACACAGCTTTTGATAAATATTCAAGTGTTGCTGATGACGTATGTACAAAATGTACATGAACAGGGCGTTTCCCCCTAATTCCCTACTGCCTCTTTTGAGTACATGTATCTACATGTACATGTAATAGTTTTGTCCTAAATGACTGATATTGTGAAATACCAGGAAGTTCAAACAATTTCACATTTCTAGACCCCTTACAAAATTGAAAGAAAAATGTCATTTTGAACTGTTTTCGTTGAAGTGTCAACATGTCTTAAATTCTTTTCTGACAAACTGAAGTAGGGTTACTTGAGATAAATGGTTAAGGCCAAAAAAAAAGTCTCCGGTTTCTGGTATGCGTGCGTGTCGCCGTAGCAATGCCCGTCGGCAAAATGAAAAAAAAAAATTTCAATGAAAGATGATGTCTCAAAACCGCCAAACTCACTGGTGTGACTGGAATCCTGCTGCTGCACAATTTTAAACGTGTTTTTAGATTGGGTTATGGTAGAGAATAAGCTTTATGTGGCCTCTCTGGACTCCCATATATTTGTACTAAGTTTAGTCGGGCACCATTTGCAGTCATCAGCCGACATTTGAAGCAAAAAAATCAGGTAAAACAAAAAAAGCTGCGTCGCCGCACCACTGTTTGGGCAAGCTCCATACCAGAAACCGGAGACTTTTTTTTTGTTGGCCTAATCACACTTTGTAAACTTCAAACATATGTCAAAGAAACTCTGACTTTATATCTGCTGGGTTTCTTGGGATCTGTGCGCCATATTATTATTAGACAAGCCAATCCACCTGATTTTGTGCTCAATTCCCTGAAACCTCTGTGCTGCCAGAATAGTATTGCCTTGATCGGGTTTCCAACCTTGATATCAGGCACCCTCATCAACAACAGGTTGCTTAAGTTGGTGCTTTTATCAGTTCAGTTTTGCTGCCTTGCGCAATCCAATTTGCACATTTCAGTACTTTTTTAATTTGCACATTTCAGTATTTTCAGATCTGCACAAAAATAGTTGTTATTGCTGGGAGATGCCAGATTGGGTAATGTATTTCGTAACATAGTTTTTTTTTTAACCAGCCTGATATCTCCAAAACCAAACATCTCTGCTTCTATTAATTTAGTTCGGATTTTTACCAACCTACCCTGGTACATCATGCCTACATGTACATCTAGAATGTGCCTACATTTCAATTCTGCATTGTCTTGAAGATTCAGGAATTTTCAGCAAAAAAATGAAGGGCTACAGAGTTGGGTATTCAAACAATCAAAGTCAGGATCGATGTTGTCTAAATTATAGCTGCGTGTGTGTTCTGGTCGTAGGCGTTCAATGCCAAGGACGATGTGGGGCGACCGCTGATTAAAGATGTGTGCGTCATTGCGGTGACCTTGTTTTTTTTGTTCTTTCAAAGTCGCAAGGATTCCCTTTCAGTCTGCCTGTTGGTCCGGGCCAACAGCTTGGTGTTTTTTTGTATGGCTTCATATATTAATAGACAAGCTGATAACACCAGTCAGACTTTCACAAGATAGTAGTGATAGAGATCGGAGATTTTGTGATGTTGGTGGCAACAAACACACTGGTCCTTTGTCCATTGTTTGCATCATATTGGGCATGCGCGCTTTAGCTTAAAACATGACGTACATCTATGTCTAAAAGGACCGGTGTGTTTGTTGCCACCAACGTCTCAAGTCTCCCATTAGTGCCAATACATGTATTTATACAGTTTTTTTTTTTTTTAGAAAAGTGGACCCAGATAACTTTAATCAAAAACAAATTGTAAGGTCCTATTTGTGTTAATAATATGTGGTGCTTTATTCGTACTTATATCTGTAGCGCTTTATACCTACAAAGAGCTTCAACGTCTGCAGCCTAATTTACACATTTACCTAATTTGATGATTGTTTGAGTGCATTGTTGATGGCATGTATATAGCCTACCTGTGTACATGAACGAGGCGTTTCCAAAAATGTGGCAAATTTTAATTTTCCCCCCTAATTCCCTGTTGCCTTTTTGAATACATTAATAGTTTTATTGAAATGACTGATAAGTGAAATACCAGGGTGTTTAATCAATTTCATATTTCTGACCCCTTACAAAGTTGCCAGAGAAATGCCATTTGAAACAATTGCCCGATTTTTTTTAAGTGTCAACATTTATCAAGAATTCTTTTCTGACAAACTGAAGTAGGGTGAAGTGGAGATCAGTATTAATGGTTAACGTCAGGCCGGGATTATTTTGCCGAAAATTTCAATTTTCGCAAAAGGCAAGATTTTCCAGCCAACTTCTGATATTACATGTACATGCCAAACATAAATGGGTGTTTGGAGTACCGAAGTGTGACGTCATTTAGAACCAGAAAGTGTATAGTGCAAACGAATGAAGTACACGCGCGTGTTGGTTCACGGGCTGAATCACGCGCTAATGTCTTTCAAACGCATTTTGAGCGCGTGACTTTGGTACTCCATAAATGGGTATCTGGATATGGAGGTATGCACTAATCTCGAGCTGCTGCAAATACTGATCTCATATGACCTGATGAACAGGGGTAATAATTGTAAAGCGTTTTGAGGCCCTTGGTATAAAGTGCTATATTATAAGCACATTATGACTTTGAAACCTGCTTAGACTAATTTTTAACTTTTACGGATATCAAAACTGTCACTTCCATAGAATCTGAAAGAGAAAGATGGAGGAGAATGAGGACAACATTGAAGAAGCCGTGCCGCTGAGCAACATACCAACTGATGGCGCCTTCTCCTCATCAGGAAGCAAGAGAGGCTCACTGCGGGGGCCGTTTCTGGAGAGGGTCAAGCAGAACGATGTTGACGGCGTGAGAGCATTAGCCAGAGAGCACAGACTTGAGGACTCCAGCGCCTGTGACGAGCTGGGACGAACTGCCTTGATTGTGGCTATTGACGAGAGCAACTATGGTGAGTCAAACATTCTGAGGGTATTTCTGCAGCTTGTAGGTTTGAGGCTGTTGTGCAGGAGTAAGACACTTTGTTGTGTTTCTCACTATTTGCTTCTTGATTCCACTAAGGAGTGAAATGGGAATGTCTAGGGCAGAGATGGTGATTGATTTTAGCTGCTCTTAGACTTGAGGACAAGTCCTTAGACACTGTCATGTCCAACGAGGCCCCTAATATTTACAAGCACGGGGCTCGCTAGCACTGTGTATCATGTTTACATATCTGGTATAACGACTTGACTAACATGAATTCGGACGGTTATTTATTGATGCGCTCAACGAAATACATTTCCGTAGAGAGGGCCAATGATAATCTGTCTGTATCGCTGCAGAAGCATCCATTATGAGAGCTGGGATATAGTTTGCAGCAAAATGCTTCATCAATGCTTGCTGCTTCTTTTTTTTCCTCCCTCTTTTCTGAATGGTTTTCGTTGGAAAATTATACTCAGTGGTAAAATAGAAAATGTAATATCCAAATCTTGTTTTTGTTCACGACAGACATGATCAAGTGTCTCCTGGAGCTTCAGCATGATGCCGGGGATGCGCTGTATCACGCTGTCAGTGTACAGAACGCTGCTGCTGTAAAGGTGCTCTGCAAAAACCTCTCTGAGTCGGTAAGCTGTCAGTTTCTTCGTCGGAAGTACCGGTACATGCACTCAGAAATTTATCGGTACATGTATGGACATTTGAAAGACCATCAAGTAGAACCATTTGAATCATTTTTTGATCTAAAAATGTATTCAGTGTTGTCGAAAAATTAACATTTGGACAGTTTGAAGTTTTGACTCAGTTGGTACTTGATCTTTTCTGATCAACAGGAAAATGAAAGAGACCCTCATTTTTCTTCAGAGAAAATGCTATAAAATAGAAGAAGATGGTATAAAATTAATCTTGGATTGAACAAAACACACCTCCAAGATGACTGCTAAAAGGAACTTTATTTCAGAATGGCAAGTTATTACCAAAAGTAATATATTTGGCCTTGTTTCCTTTCAGTGCAAGTCACATGTCATCAACGGTTTCCCCTGCGGCCGTCATTACCCTGCAGTCATGACACCCCTGCTGCTCGCCGGCAAAAACAACAACTTTGAAATTATTGAGGTAGGTACTTGTATATCTTCTCATCCATACCATATGTACATGTACAGGTATTTGTAGGAAAACTTCACTCACTTGCATTGGACTATTAAAGGCAGGTACATTTAGGAACATTGGCTATTGCCTGGAAAAGCACCTACATATTTCATGAGAAAAACCATGCTAAAAGTAACTGGATTCTGTTGCTTACGCACGTAAAAATGTGTGCCTGTCGGCACCCTGGCTATTTTGAAATCACTTTTGATGTTACTTTTGAAAGATTTCATGAGGAATAATTTCACATGGGTACCCCGGTATTTGATGCTCGACCTATCTTCACTTTGAACGAGGTTTCTGTCATTAAATCAGCAGATACTTGTCTGGGTAATTGCAAATGATGCTGAATGTATGTGGCTTTAATTAACCCTTACTCTCTGAGGGTAGTTTACTGCATGTCAGCTGGTTATGCCAATGCCCTCCAGCTGCAGTTATTTGGCAGATAACAAGTCTTAACAGTGAAGGCTCCAATTGGCAGGAGTTGGAGGCCCTGGAGGGTGCCTGATACTGACCAGCTGGGGGCACTCACTTTGTTATCAGAGGACTCTCATTGTTCTCTGTGGCATGTATTGGAGTGCCTGTCCAGTTACCCTTGAAATGACATGGCAGATATTGGAGGGCCATGCAAAAAACATAGGAGATTTTCTTGAGGCACATATTGGCATGCGTTGGAGGGTCAAGTAGGGTAAGGGTTAACAAGATCACATTTTCCCTTCTACAACAGGTGCTACTCCATCACGGGGCCAAGCTGCCCGACCTAAACGACCTTGTGTACCGGGCCGAGAGTGACCCCTACCTAAAATTCCTGGCATTGGTCAACTGGTACGAGGCGGCCAGCAGCGAGGCCTACATTCTGCTGACCTCAGATGACCCCTTGGACACCATCTTTAAACTTGGCCAATCGCTGCAGGAGGCGGAAGAAACTTTGAAAGTGAGCCAGAGTGTCTATTCTTTTCTTTTCTCAGGAACTTTGCGGAACAGCCTTGTTTTGTGTTCTGATTATTATCATGTGTTTGTTTTGTTTTTGTTTGTTCTTCTATTCCAAACCCCATAGACTTTATACATTATTTTCTTGGTGGCACTTTGTTCCTTTCGAAAGTTTGTATCTTATCAAACTTACGAGATTCTGCGTGAAACACCGTGAATGTGCTAGAGTTTGATTTGCCGTTCCCGAACGCTTCGCATGCGTACAAGTCCGCAACCACCATTAATGCTACCGGTACTTCGTTAAAGATATGAAAGGTTTGCGGAACGTTATCATACACTTAACCGGTATGATGCTTATTATTAATAGTCTCCTGCCTCACAGATTTGTTATAAACACCTCCCGGATGGTTCCGTAATTCCCGAGAATACATGCGATCCGGTACAACGACGTTTTGTGTACTATTTGGTATCAGTTACTTTGTAAAAGAGTTGAAATAGGTCTGTCGGCTATGTTGAAAAAATGTACAATGTAAATGTGTCCTGAAGATAATGGAAGGAATAATTGATCAAGGACTGTTTGCCTTTTCTTTTGGATCATTTAATTTTTCCCCTTGGCCACTTCCCGTGAAATTCTAATCAGGTTCCACTCTTTAACGTCGAGTGTGAGCGGATCGAGAACAAGCTGGCAGACTTGAGTGTCAAGCTGCTGAGCCTTGCCAGGGACAACGGTGAGATCGGAGTGCTGCTACGCGGCGGAGAGGAAGGCTCAGCCGATCCCAGGGTGCCGCTAAGGATCAAACAGGCTATGGAAATCCACAGCTTTAAAAAGGTACGAGTAACTGTACATCGTAGAGCAAGCTCATTCAAGAACCATTGGTCCATTCGGCTGCTCGACTAGGGGAACAAACTTTGCCCAACTACCGGTATACTTTGAATAGTCTAAATGTACAGGTTCTATCAAAGTTGATTTATTTTTGATAAGGCCAAAAAAAAAAATAAGTCGGTCTCTGGTCAGCGCGCGCGTCGATTTTAATCATGCGCGTTGATCTTTTTTTTTCTCCAAAATATTCCGCAGTAGCTACAACAGAGCCCTCTATTTCCGCACCTCCTCAATTTTTTTTACCAAAGAGCACCAAGGAATGGGAAATTGTACCAAGGCAAATTATGGAGGACACCAATGTACATGAGGACACCCCACCTTCTCTGTACAATCCAAGCTTGAAGAAAAAAAAAAAAATGCAAAAAAAAAAAAAAAAAAAAGCCGCGTGGCCGCGTCAATTCCGGAACTTTGGTCTGACCAGAGACCGAATATTTATTTTTTGGGCCTAACCATAATTCTCACTTCAGCTCGCTTCATCTTCCACAATTTGCAATAATATGCAAAACCAGTGCCCTCGGACTCTGCGTTTTCTCCCCCTCCACAAAGGTTACATGTAAACAGTTCTTATTTCATCTTGAAACCATTTGCAGTTTGTATGCCATCCCAGTAGTCAAGCCTACATGATGCACCTGTGGGACATACCACGCCCCCATTGCCTGGCCAAGCACTCGTGGTTCTTCTACTCCTATCTCTTCAACATCATGGTGGTACTGCTGTACCCCATTCTGTGTGTGGCTTATATCCTGCTCCCATGGAAGACGGCCCATTTCATGAAAAGACCGTAAGTTAACCTAAAAGGTAGAGTATTTCATTTGCTGCTATCAAAAAAAGCCCTTTTCACACTAGAGCTTCTCAACCCGGGTTGAACTCAACCCTGGGCGAACCCAGTGCCGCGCCGAGTTGAGTTTTCGATTTTTCAACCCCGCGTTCAACCCCGCATCGTTTCACACTTGTTTCATGCAAATCAAGCTTATCATGCTCAATTACTACTGTTTCGAACCCTGGCAAGAATTTCAACCCGGGTTGGAAATCTCAACCCTGGCCTGGAGCAGGGTCGAGCTCAACCCGGGGTGAAATCAATCTCGGGGTTGACGCAGGGTTGACGCAGGGTTGAAAATCTTGGTACTTATTTCGATACACCCTGTACATTATAATAAGATTGAAATTGATGCACATGTTTCATTTGTGGCATTTTGATTTTGGAGTGTTGGCATTGAAGTTTAAGTCTGTTGAGTTGTCCCATTGCTAAAAACAGTGGACTGTGCTTAAAACCTGTAAGAAGAATCGGTCGTTTTTGCTTCCAGGAAGATCCGGTTCTTGATGCACGCTGGCTCCAGATTGACACTGCTGTGCGTACTGATAGCGTCCACTAGCAGCTGGGTGGTGGATCTACTAGTGATGACAGATTTCAACGAAGTGAACATATCCGGCAAAGAGGTGACTGATCTATACATTGCGTCCATGACGCGTCCACTGACTCCTGTGAGCATGCTCATTCTAATATGGATTGCAGGTGAGTTTCTAACCGTGGAGGAATTTTGTTTTGTTTAAACAGAAATAAGACTTCAACGGATGACAAAGTTTTCTTCCGTAGTGGGTCCTCCACTCATGTTCAGTGTTTTATAATTTCATAAATCCAGCAAATAATGTGAAGCTAGTGAGATGGAAATTTATTATTGCCAAATTATTATCAAATACCTTACTGGACTGTTTTGGTCTGATCTCCACTGCCAGCTATGCCGAGAAAGGTCTGGTTTTGGCAGAGCGTGTCACATTTAATGTCTGTTTTTATCGCCTTCTCAGGTATGACAGTCCGTACCATCAAGCAGCTGTGGACCCAGGGTGCATCTGTCTATTTCACCAACGGCTGGAACGTCATGGATTTTGTCCAGCTGATCCTATACTGGATTTTTGTCATTGCCGGCATTACTGCATATTTTAAGGTGTGCGCAGTTTAAAAAAATTATAGTGTAATCCGGTGAACAAAAATAGACGCCCTTTTGGTGGTGGTGCCATGCTCATGCCACATGCTGTGGGCACGGACTTTGGTAACACCATTGGTCAAAGGAGCCCGGAGTACTTGCGTACGTACCTGAGCGCGACTCATGTCAGCCTGGTGCCACCGGGCCACAAAATGAGTCTGAACCCTAGCCGCCTATTGTAGAGTGATTTACTATGAACCGTCATCACTGCTGCAAATTCCAACACCATGATAAAATGCTTACAAAAACTGGTGGACTCTGATTATTGGTGGTATGCTTAACCCCATGTAAAGCATCATCAGTTATACTAGTGCAGTACTCACTCTAACAGATTCCAACAAACCCTGGTGTTGGAGTTTGACTGGATGGGGATTGTTAGGGTTAAGGACATTTTTTCAATTTTTTTCTTACTGCTGAGGAAGGCACGCAACCTCTTTGCAGTTCCGTACTTCGCTCAGTTCGATAAATGAATACAAAATGTATGCTGTAAATATGAAAATGTGGATTTCCCGGTCATTTCCATTGTGCAAGTTTTGCAGCCATTTTTTGGAAGCTACAGAGGGGTACACCGGCATTAAGATGGAATGATAAGTGATATCTTTGTCTTTTTGTTTACCCAGTCCCTGGATATAGCTGAAGCCGAAGGAATCTTTGCGAGGGTGCCTGACATCAAGCAAGCTCTCTCTGGGGCTAACACCAGGTGAGCCATCTGCTACATGTATAGTGTAGGCTTGGTTCCAGACATTGATTGATAGTGGATGCCACACAGTGTTCTGCAGTAGCGCCCTCACTGGACATATTGTGAATCCCTCAAACGAGGGAATTCTGCATACTGGTAGCTCGTTGAACTTCTTTCTTTTTCTTTTGCGGCATTACAATCTTATAGATATTATAACGTGCATCGCACTGTTTCCCTATTGCCTGTAGATCTGTTCACAAAAGCATATGTATAAAATGAACCTAATGGCAGTGGCAACATTGCATGTATTTACTACTTCATTGCGACAGTAATGATTGGAAATTTCAAACTTTCCTTAGGTAGGAATCATAAATATAACAACATACACAAGTACTGGAATCATCTCACAAGAAATCTAGCAAAGTCAGATTCGGTTTTAAAAGAAGAATGAATTTACCTAAGATCTAGTGTGTTTGCAATAATCCATGTAAAGTAATTTGAACAGGAACACAAATATGATACATTTTTTAAGTGAAAAGGATGCTGTGAAAAAGTTTCCTGTCACTTAAAAATTGAAATGTCATGAACTGCTCGGTATACACCATAGAGCATCTAAAATTCCAAAATGTTCTGGTCCCACGTCGTATTGGCTTTGTGCTTCCTACCACCTTAATAATTGTAAATTCTTCATCTGGAGATTAATAAAGTTTTCTTATGTCTTAGAAATATTAATTCTCCTTGTTTCCAGTGCACACACACCTGAAAGTGCAACAGAATTGCCGGGAGCAACAGTGACTTCAAATAATGGTGAGACCATGATTGATAAGGCAAAAAAAAAAGTCTCCGGTTTCTGGTATGTGCGCGCGTCGCCGTAGCCATGCGCGTCGGCAAAATGAAATTTTTTTTTCAATGAAAGATGATGTCTCAAAACCGCCAAACTCACTGGTTTGACTGGAATCCTGCTACTACACAATTTAATGTGTTGTTATATGGAGTTATGATCGAGAATAAGCTTTATGTGGCCTCTCTGGACTCCCATATATTTGCACTAAGTTTAGTCGGACACCATTTGCAGTCATCAGCCGACAATTGAAGCCAAAAAACAGGTAAAAAAAAGCCGCGTCACCCCACCACTTTTTGGGCAAGCTCCATACCAGAAACCGGAGACTTTTGGGGGGGCCTAAGACAAACAAATTATTTCTGGGTTCTCAAGAATTCTGTGCGAGGGAATGAGGACTGAGCACTCTGAATGTATTTCCTTCCCCTTGCCCCCAACCCTGTTTTTTTTTTGCTTGCAGAGATGCAAGACACAGAGCACACCTGGCAAGACTTCCAGGCCCAGCTGGTCTCGGAGGCAGCCTTCGCCATCGCCAACGTCCTCAGCTTCCTGCAGATCCTCCACCACCTCCTGGCCTTCGCCCTGCTGGGCCCCCTCCTGGTCTCCTTCACCGGCATGGCCTACGACGTCCTCAAGTTCTTCATGATCTTCTGCTGCCTGCTGGTGTCGTTCTCCATCGGGATGACGCAGCTGTACCACAAGTTTGAGGCGTTGGAGGTCAAGGCCTGCCACCTGGAGGCAGAGACGTGTGGGGACACGCCCTTCCTCAAGTATGTTTGAGTTTGTTTTAATTTTGCTCCTTGAACTTAAAATTTCACTGATGACAGTGTACATTATGAAACATCAGATAACCGCAAAGGGAAACTTGTGCAATTTTACACAGTTGTCATACATGTAAATGCATGGGTACCTGTGAGGGCAGATACGGGTACCTGTGTGGGCAGAAACGGTTACATGTATTGTGATTTGGCTGTTTTGTGCAAAACTGGCAGTATTGAGCTATCTACTCCCCAGCGCCTTGTAAATATGTGACGTATTTTTTTTCTTTTATATGAAAATATGTGACTTGAGTCACGGGTCACCATGTAAGCTCGAGTCCGAGTCATTATGGTCGAGTCCGAGTCATTTTCCAATGTGACTCGAGTCAAATCCGAATTACGAAAGATGTGCCTCGAGTCCGAACCAAGTCCGAGTCCTGTGACACAACACTGCAGCATAATGCTGTGCACTGGCCAGTCACTTAACTGGCGCAACGTCAAGAATAAACAGACTTTAAAATAAAAGAAAATATGCTTCTGTCCATGTAAAAATGACGGTTTGTGCAGGATTGTCAGAGAGCAGTTCAAGCCTCAAGGATTGTGTGACAATACCGGTAATTGATATTTTCCACAACTGCTCAGTATGAAAAATTAATCATTCTACCAACAAAGGTGCGCTGCCTACTGAGCTAATAAAGCTTGGGAGGCTTGCTTGAGTGAAACTGAAAGGCGCGCAATAAATAATGACCAATTACCAATTCAAGACAGCTGTTATTTTCGGTGTTCGCCTCTGCTCAAACAATACGCTTGAACACTAAAATATTAACAGGGATACGGTATTGTAGTTTGACACTAATTTATTTCCCACTAAATTGTGACAAAAGCCATCAGAGCGAGTAGCTCGGGAAATACTTAAACATTTATAATGATTGACAACAACACAAAAGAGTACAATTATGGCAAATTGTAATGACAGGAGTAATATCAAAATCAATTAGTTGCCAAAGGAGCCTTTCATTGCACTTGAAAGAGGTTAATTCATATTCGTGGCCAGGTCTGCCAAAACCAGGGATGCAACTCCTCCCGCTTTTGTCTGATTTCAGGCTTTTTGCAAATTGTGCAAATTATTGGCACCATAGGCCTATGTATAGTAGTGGGAGAAATCGGAGAATTAAAAATCCATGCACATCCGATTTTTTTTTGCACTGTTTAGTGCTGTCATATAAAAAGTGGGATATTTTGCAAATTTGCATAAAGTGTGCATTTTGTTGTCTATATACATGTAGGGGGGAATGGTTTGACTTCTCTAAGACAAAGAAAATATCCTTTGTTTAATTTTGTTTGTTCTCAATTTAATAAATGTCTTTAAACATGTTCAAGAAATGTTGGTTCAAGAATAGCAATACAATGTTTACAATTAAATTGCCTTTTTCAGGCCAATTTTCCCCCTTTTTTTCTCAATAACATGAACATGTACACAACTAAATAATCTACATGTACATTCAAGCCTTGAGAACCATATCTACAAAATGTACAAAGCACACAAAACAATTAATCCCTACAGTGATTGTGCTTGAAACAACATGCACTGAGTGTAATTTTAAATTATGATTTTAGACACTAGTTCAATTTGTTTATTTTTTTCACAATTCATTACAAATTTGCTATCAAATATTTCAATGTGTACATACATGTGCATTTGCTTTGTTGTGCAGCGGTGCTATAACTAGAAATATTGCACGTTACTTTCTGTAAAGTGCATTACAAACAAGTTTGAACAATCTATATTATATAACAATCAGAAACACACCTCAGAGTACATGCAGAATGTGCCAGTGTCTTGAAACTTGGTCGGATCATCGGAGCGAGTTGCGTTATTCAGTTGGCACAGTTTCTGTCCTCCTTGCGTCTTGATGTTGAAGGAGTGGCATCGGCGCTCCTTGGTGCAGGCGGAGCCGCAGCCGGTGATGGTCCCGGTAACAAATTCTCTGATGACATGGTCGACGAGGCATGAAGAGGTGAGACGTCCATTGGAGTCGGTAGAGAAGCAGTAATGAAGGGGACGGACACAAACAGCTCTTTGATTTGTATTACACGTCAAGTCATTCCACTTGCCATTCCATGTTCCCCTGATTTCAGCACAGTCTTCATTGCTTAGATGATTTGGTTCGTCTTTTTTCCAGTTGAAGAATGGCTCACCCTGGCCTTGCCCCTCACACACCCATGCCTTCTCTTTCTCTTTGTCACTGCAATCAATCCAAACACTCTCCGAACTTGCCTTCATCTTAAAAATGAACTCATTTTCAGGGAGTGAGTGTGGAGCAGCCATCTTGCCTCCCATGTCTTGGCAGGCTACGTGGGACTCCTCCCAGCTCGCCCTCTTTTCAGTGAGGCGATAGCAAGAACCCCGCCAAAGCGTCCATTTTGGTGGACATACATGCACTTGGTCATTAGAAGATGGTAATGATGGGCAGAAGTCTGAACCTAGTACAGCTGTCGTCAGCACTACAATGCCGGTGCAAAGGCTAACAACTTTGCACAACAACATCATGATGATGACTTAAGGAACAGTTTATAGTCTTTGACTCGATCCAAGCGTTTTTAGATGAGCAAACTATAGTTGATGTGCATGCACCATACAGTTCTTCTCTGCTGTTTTCTTAAAGTCAGCAAAACTGTGCAGCCTGGCTGATGTTGCCGTGGATGTGGTGCTATTATCGGGCTCTGTTTGGAAAAGTAACCACCGATTGGTTGCATTTGGACCATGGCCTGACTGTCGACTGATGCCCCCGCTGGCTGCATGGCTTTATATAAGCATATTGGGACATCGACACAAAGTACTGGGCATACAAAAATTGATGTCTGCTTACTTGTAAGCTGACCCTCGTTCATCACTTTTACATTATTGCTAATGGATGACACCATTAGAATTCAATTGACTAAATGACAAGAAGTGTAACCTCGACCATAACTCATTGATGCACCGGGATTTACTCATCAAGCACTTGTCACGTACGCTTGTGTTGTGGGCTAATTTGCTTTAATAAATTAGTGGGCAAAAGCTCTTTGTTCTTGAAATGTGCTACACATGTAGACTGGAAGTGTAAATTTATGATACTGCATTATTCAAGCCAGCAGTTTGAACTCGCACTTTTTGGGGATCTTATTAATGAGTTGTCATCTTATTGTCCTTGAGCAAGACACATTACAACAATAATGTGTTCTTGCTTGGTCGTACACCAATTTGCACAAAGAATTACATGTGTTCTTGCTACAAGTACAGGTACGTTTCAGCCGCACTTCCAACTGCGCATGTGCGATTCATAGGGTTATTTGTACAGGTCTATACAATCCATTCTTTTGGCCAAAAAAAAAGTCTCCGGTTTTTGGTATGGAGCTTGCCCAAAAAGTGGTGCAGCGACGCGGCTTTTTTTTTTTTTTTTTTTACCTGATTTTTTTGCTTCAAATGTCGGCTGATGACTGCAAATGGTGCCCGACTAAACTTAGTGCAAATATATTGGAGTCCAGAGAGGCCACATAAAGCTTATTCTCGACCATAACCCAATCTAAAAACACGTTAAAATTGTGCAGCAGCAGGATTCCAGTCAAACCAGTGAGTTTGGCGGTTTTGAGACATCATCTTTCATTGAAAAAAAACTTTTTCATTTTGCTGACGCGCATGGCTACGGCAACGCGCGCGCATACCAGAAACCAGAGACTTTTTTTTTGGCCTTTTAATGTTCTGATCTCTGATTCTGACAGTTTTGGCAAGTCCATGGTGACCCTCTTCTGGTCTTTGTTCGACATGGTTGACCTGGGAACCCTAAGGGTCAATGACAGTCTTGTCGTCACAAACACCGTCGGTTCCATCATGTATGCTGCCTTCATGCTGATTGGCTCCATTGTCCTGCTTAACGCACTCATTGCGATGATGAGTAACACGTACACCAGGGTGGAGGTGGGTACCAGTGAACATTTTATAAATAATAATAATAATAATAACTGTATTTATATAGCGCTTTTTGCCAGAGGATACAAAGCGCTGGGGGAGAATGCAACCAAAGCCAGGTAAATGAAGTATATGAACATATGAGACCCATTATGAAGCACCTTTTTTGCTAGGTGCTTATAGCTGTCATATATTCTAATAGTTTCAACCTCGTTTCCATGGGTACGATCTTACTGCGCCATGTTGTTTCCCATCATGCCTTGTGCGATCTTAACCCCTGGAATTGTGTAATTTAAATGTGCCAAATGTGCACGGCACAGTGCTTCACATTTTGAAAGGTGTCATATGTCAATCCTTTCAAACATGAGATTTCGACGTTTATGTAAAATGTTAACAGACATGTGCCAAACCTAGTGTCACGTGGCGTACATTAATAAATAAATACATGTACCTTAAATCACTGCGATGTGACCTTTGATAACTGAAGGTTTTGAAGTCCTGCCGGACACGAAACTGAGCATTCGACGTTACAATTCCCATTGGGCAAAGCAATGGTTCCACACACAATGAACGTGATTACCAGAATCGGGATTTTTTTTCTCAACAAGGAAAACTCAGAGGTTGAGTGGAAGTTGGCACGCACCAAGATCATGGCAGAATACATCAGCGAGAAAGCCTCCCTGCCTCCACCCTTCAACCTTGTACCCACGGTCAAGTTTGTGCTGTGGCTTTTCAGATATATCCCTCGTAAGCTCCGTCGGTCTGGCTGTCCTGCCTCTCAGGTTTGTACATATGTACTTAGCTCATCACCTGATAGTAGAACCCGAGCTTTGGGTGCGATGCTTCATCAGGGGGATTATGGCTTGTAATTCCTCTGATGAAGGTGCATCTCACCGGAAGTTCAGGTTCTACTATTCGCTGAGCACTACTACTTTCACTTTTCACATTTTCCATGCTCTACAGTGCTACCCAGCATCTCCACATTTGTTATGTATATGAATGTATGTATGGAGTGTTATTGGTACTGAACATTTACTTTATATGGCCTCTTCTTAATGGATAGATTTTCCAGATATTTCAAATGTTGTACAGTGTATGTACTCTTTTTATTGTTTTCTTTGCAGCAGCAGTTTCGGGCAACAGACCAAGAAGGCCTGCAAAATGCTGCATACAAGGTACAGTATAACATTGAAGTTGAATGTTTGTGCACCGATGCATGGATTTATAGTTGATTGTTGGTTTATGTACAATCCTGTTGCAGATCAGGGCTGAAAGTCACGGTCATGAAATTTTACTATAAAATCAGAAAGTGACTAATTAATTCACTAATATTGTCCCCCCCCCAATTTTTTTTGACGGTGGGTGCCAGTGTGATGCCAATGGTGGGTATATTCATAAATCCTGGCACTTGATCACTATGAACAAGGCCCCCTTATGTGATGGAAACATTGTGCAAGCTATTGTGCGAAGCTACTGCCCTATGACATATTATCTGAACAATAGACCCCTCTAGACAGCCATCTTCGTAGGAAAATTACCACTGCGTATTCAACACCATCAGCTACGTGTGTGCCCAGTGAACAAAATGTTCTTAATACGTGTGCATGTATGATGTAGCTCAAAATTTCTGCTTATGCCAAATTGAATTAAAAATTGCAGATTTATAATAGTGAGGTTCTTGTTTTGCATTACAGCTGGAAGTTCTTCAAATGAATTTTCCATTTTGGTTATGAGGGACCAGTGATACTCACCTAATTGAATGCCTGGCAAGTTGGTTGACTACTTGAAATTTTCTTGCCTTGTAGGTGGTGTGGTTTTGTTTTTTGGGTTTTTTTGGCATGCTTTTTGTTCCGCGGTTTCATGGTTTGTTCTGTCCGACGCCTCATAGGTCCGATGCCTCATAGCTCCTCCGCCTACTAGCTCCTCCACCTGATAAGTCTGACAAATTAAAAGCCTCGTTTTTCCAACGTTGGACTTATGAGGTGTCGGACTTTTCTGCGGCGTCGGACCTATGAGGCAGAATAAATAAATTGTATGCCTCATAAGTCCGATGCCTAATAAGTCCGAAATTTTGGACTTATGAGGCGTCGGACCTATGAGGCGTTGGACTTATGATACGGCCTCGCATAGATTACCTGTATTGCCTTACGGTTAGTCATACGGCACATGTGAATGCATAGACACATACAGTACAGATGGATGCACATACATGCGGCAGTGTTGTAGTCGAGACCCTGCAAGACCCTCACAAGACCTTCACAAGACCCTCACAAGACCCACACAAGACCTCCAGTCTTAATTCCAATACAAGCTATTCAAATGAACTGCATCAAAAGGCATTCCCTTTGTCATTTTTAGTGCCTGGTTACTTGTGGCTGGTCTTGTGATGGTCTCGACTACATCACTGACATGCGGGGTGTCCCACACACTGGAACTCTTAAATAGCGCCATCTATAATGTTCCGTCTTGTGCATTGGGCAGCTCCTTGTGTGGCAAGTTTGATTTGCTTGTTGCCTGGTTTGTCATAGCCTGATGGCTTACTTTTTTGTTTTGCTGTCATGTCAGGCATGTTGACTATATTTTTTTGTCAATGTATCGGTATGTTTAGATGACTGAGATTTCACTCACTAATTTACTTTGATTTTTGCCGTTTGCGAAGCCTGTTTTGTTTTTAATTCAGCAGATTTTTAATTCCCATCTCACTGGCTGTTAATTAACCATGTTAACCAACTGAAACGTTTTTAGTGAAGAAAGAGTAGCACGCATATTGGAGGGTTTCCTTTTGAACAGAATGAAATTGTTGGATTGTTTATGATTTGTGTGGTAGGAGGCAAGTCTTGTTTTGGGAGAGCGCTGCCTCCGAGCAATGGACATGGAGAGAAGTGAGTCTCAGACGAGCAGTGACCTCAAGACACTCAAGAACTCGGTTGAAAAATTCAGGTGAAGATAGTTCAGGGGAAAGATTTTCTAAATTACCTTTCTGTGTTTAAACCCGCTAAACCCCCCCCCCCCCTTCTTTTTCAAATTTCTACAGTCGGGCAGTTATGGGATTTTGTCGCATCGGTGACTTCTTCTGTTAGAGTAGAAGATGTGGAAGGAAATAATAGTTTTGGTGGCTGGAGGAAAAACCCAAAATGATATTCACGGATCCACAAACTCGGGAAGGGACTGGAAACACAATCCACAGGGCTAGACGGGATTCGAACCCTGGCCACAGCCGTGGAAGGCGAGGAAAGTACCACTACGCCAACCTGATGCCCACATTTACTAGGCTTGCATTGTCTTGTGTTATTATAGCTGTGAGATGATGAGAATCCAGCAGCAGTTGACATGCATCCTGGAGATTCTAAACCAGACGAAAGGAGTGGTGGAGACAGGTGACTGCCCTGCTGAGGAGGCAACAATTGCAGATAAAACATCTCGGTAAGGAGCGCATCAGCTGGTATGTCAATGATGCAAATCACATTAAGAGGGTTCTACTTTTTGGTCGGTTAATTTTTGCATGTTTGATGGTTTTGAATTTTAAATTAGTTTTTTTTTTGCCCTTTGTTTTGAATTTGATTTGCATGCATTTGTGTCATTATACTACTGCTACTTCTATACTACTGCTAATAATAATAACAATTACAGATAATGAGTCATCAGGGAGACATTCCGGTAGACCTGTGCACAGTTTTGTTTCCAAACTTTAATGACCCATAACTCAAGTTTTGGCGCAATGCAGCTAAAATCAACTACAGTAACCACCTCTGGCTTTACTCCTTCTTGGGGAGAAGCAACGAGTGACAAAGTGCCTTGCCATAGATGAGTTGATAATAACCTATAAAAGTAAACAATCTTAGTATTTCAATGTGGAAGTCATCCAGGAAATGAATGTCAGTTTTTGTAATGAAAAAAAAATATGAAGGAACCGAATACCAGGGTAGCATTATTGTACACCAGGGGGGAATTGAACCACCGTCACCCGAGTTGAAAGGCCGGGAAGGTACAGGTACCACTTTGCCGACCGGGCTACCCATACCGCTGATTTTTAAAAATGTGGAGATATAGCTATAATTTTTTTATTATTTTTTTACTTTTACTGTTGCTCATCAATTTCGACCGTGCATAAATGTATTTTAATATTAGACGGAATATGAACTATAAAGTGGACTTTAGTTAGGCATGCCTTAGACGCATTTCTTTCATAAATAACATAAGAAAAGAATATGGTATATTGTTTTACTGCTCAAGTGTTTGCTTTGCCTTGTATATACAAATTAATGGTGTTGGTGGCTGATTGAAACTTTTGTTCTATTTTTTTATTTGACTTCGAGGGTTGGGTTTTTTTTTGGCCTGGGGTGATTGCATTCGTTTTTAAGTTGGTCTATACGTTTGTGTTTATGTATTTATTGTCAGTACCAGAAGTTGTGTTGAACACTTAGTGTTATTATTTTTTACACTTTCTTTCGTCTCTTTCCTCTTTTTTTTTTTTAAAAACTGAATTGTGGCAATTTGAAGTCATGTGGGAAATCTTATGCAAAAGTTTAGTAAATATATTACTTATTGACATGCAATGATTGACAGCTTTATGTATGAATTTTATCCATGATTCATTTTTATTTGTTTATTCTCTTCTGAAATAACTTTCTTCACAGTCGGTGCTAATATTTAACTTATTCTACACATTCCAGTGCTGCTATACCTGTAATGCAATAAAATAATGTTCCTTTGTAGGCTTACTTTTATACTATTAGCTTTTGTGCGGACTTGCAATTTGTACATTTGCCTCGGCTTAAGTATAGCTAATATTTATAATGAGAGGTTACTGTAAAAGCTAAAATAACCAGCTGATCTTAAGGCCCTGTCACACTGTCACATCCATGCATGGCGTTCATATTGCGTTGTTGAAATTCTTAAAAATGTAATTAAACGCCATAAAGACGCAGGATTCATGGCGCCAGTGGCTCAGCAAGCCATCAATCAGAGATAAAGATACGTCTCTGTGACGTCCACGGGAAGTCTAGGACGTCCGTGTAGCGTTCTTTACGAGTTTCATTAAAGACCAATAAGCAGATGCGTCCTCATGGCGTCCAACAAGTTCATACGACGTTCTTGGAGTCCTTATCGCGCGCTTGATGACGTGTGACGTCAGCAGCCAGAAGCGCGGGGTGTATAGATACTCGGGCCAAAACGGGCGATCGTCACCGAACTCTGCGTCACCATGCACGTTCGTGGAGTTCTCACGACGTCACTCCCATCTGCCTTCGCGTTGCCAGTTCGTCACGGCCGTTCGCGAGGAGTTCGCGCAGTCTTTACCGCGTTCTGGTCAAAACGCCGAGGCGCGGCGTTTGTTTTGTGCATGTCCAAAACGAACGTTGTAGTTTGGCGTTCAGCGAAGTCCTTGGAGTCCCCCTGAGGTCCTCAATCAACGAGTCCCCACGCCGTCATCTGCGTTCCCACCGCGTTTCAGTCAATTTTCTTGGTCGCGGTACGAACTCCATGCCAGCACGTGGTCCTTAATTGCCTTAGTTTGAGGTCACAGAAAAAGTGAAATGGTCGCACTTAATAACTGGCCGTTAATAAAGGTGGCAATATTTTACCACACTCACTGATGATATTCAAGTGCATGGTAGCCTATAGACGTACGTCTTATGCAATGTAAGGTTTATTGACTTTTGTACTGTACTTTTTGGTACCTTGATGCTATGTTAATGATCAACGGATAATGGTTTGTTAATAATCACGATTTTTGATTGACGAAGAATATATGCAGGGGTTTTAAATAATTTGTGTTGTGTTTTGTGTCATTATTACAGACACGACTAAAGACAAAAAGTGCAAGTGTGTGGCAGCACTATGCGATGTGCAAATAATTATCCTTGTGACTTTGTGTCGCTCGGAGTATAAACAGCTGAAACTCGCTGTGCTCGCAGTGGCGTCGCCAAGGGGGGGCCAGGGGGGGCACGTGCCCCCCCTGGAAAACCTAGTGCCCCCCCGAGTGCCCCCCCATCTGAGATTTGGGTTGGTAAAAAAATATATATATATTTTGTTATATTCAACTCCCATCATCTGAGTTGGTTAAATAGCAATTTCTGGAGATATCTTCAGATCGAATTTAGCATCAAATGTGGCACCATTTTGCATCTAGCCCATCCTCCGTATGCGAAAATTTTCCAAAGGGGAGGGGGGCACCCCCTCCCCTTAGACCCCTCCCCCAGGACGGCGATCCGTATCCACCTAAGTGCCCCCCATCAAATGCTGGTGCCCCCCCCCCCTGTGCCCCCCCAGACTGAAAAGTCTGGTGACGCCACTGTGTGCTCGTCCTAGAAGATACAATTTGCTAGTTCCCTAGAAGGAGCTAACATTTTGCTTCCCAGACATCCAAACTTAATATTTTAACCAGTCAATTTGCAACTTCCATGTCTCAGTTTCACAATTAAAAAATGACACCGGTTTACAGTTAAAACAAAAATAATACGGGCTGATTACCACTTTCCGACAACTAACCCCACCTTTTAATTTATTTTTAATTTAAACCCCTCCCCAACCACCAACACCTACACCACCCCGCCCAACACCTACCAAAACCAAATTTATGTTTGAATTCTTTCGCGAACCAAGTACACAAGTGTGTTAGGCGTATAAAGTTTTGAAACTGGTTACACGCGCGGTAGGCAACCAGTTAGTTTGCCCCGTCCTCGAGGGTTTCCGGCAGCGGTTTGTTGTGAGTTTCAGGCAGAATGAGCACGAGCAGGCCGGCAACCAGCGAAGTTACCGCAAAGACGAGTAGTGGAATGGAGGTGTGGAGAAAAGTCTGAAATGGAAAGAAATTAGAATGTAAAAAAAAAAAGACATGGTAGGCACACTGCTATTAGCAGAAACAAGAGGAATGAATGAAGAAGACGTGGATGAATCTGTGGTATAGCTGCAGTGGCAGTAGCAAAAACGTAAACATGGGCAAGAGTTTGTGACATGCGTAGGCATTGAAGCATTCATAACTGCAGCAAGGGAAGCAGAAAAACAGCAGCGTAGAAGCATTGATTGCTTTATACAGCTACAAACAGGTCTTCAACATCAGAAATGGAGGCAACAAGCTCGATCGGATCTCAGAAGCTGCGGGCCAACGAATGCGTGTTGCGACTTGCCGAATACTTTATCGTGTGACTCGTGATTTGTAATGTTTACTGTGAATTCCGACTTAACTTACAAAAATTGTCAGCGCTTGACTCCACCAACCGAGCACAGCAAGCATAGCTACGTAGGCTGGAGACCAGCCGTATCGATCTCAATGTAGGAGAGTTAGTTACCAGACTACGGCAGCAACGCGCTTTACGTGCCATCAACAACAAAAAAGAACGGAAGTATGACTCTTGGAGGGAGTCAAATTACCGGTAGAAACAACTGTTAAAAACAAAATAATAGTAATAAAAACAAAAGTGATGTCAATCACTTACCAAGTAGACGACAAACGGAGCAACAATTCCACCAACTCGACCAAAGAGAGACGCACTTCCCACACCGACGTTTCTAGACGTAAACAAAATGATAAATACCAAATTAATTAATGATTGTAGTTTGTATATTAGTTTTAAACCTATCGACGCACACTCAAAGCTTAGGTTACTTGCTCAATGCCTTTCAAGTTAAAAGTCCAGCAGCACTGTCCGGGATGAGCAGCAATGTGGACAGGCCAGGATTGTCTGCAGCTACTAAGTTTTGTTCACCCATCATTATAAGAACTGTTAAATGACAGGTTTTTCTTGATACAACTACCGATTCCATAATTCTCTCTACCTCAGAATGGTTGGAAAGACCTCTGCTGTAACCAGATACGTCACGTCAAAAGCGGCGGTGATGAAAAACTTGCCAATCATCGCAACGATTACAATCAGAATTGTCAGGTCAACCCCAGAAGCTGTGACAAAGAGGAAGACGTGTCAGAACTTCATGAAGCGTGATGATAATTGTTATGTGTTGGTATAATGTTTAGTCGCAAAGGCCCTTGATGGGCAAGGGCCTTTCTGTCACATGTATTCCTATGAATCCATTCGCTGGTTCAGAGGGGTCGCGTTCAAGAGGCTGAGCGCATCCTCCAGAAAAATCGCTGCCTCGAAAACATCGACCAACCCCGAGGTTTTCAATCTACCACTGCGCGGTCTGAAAACCTCCATGATACTCTTTTCACTGATCAGTGACTAGCTGAAGGGAAAATTGTGGAATGCCTTTTGAAGGGACAAAAACATGATTCCCCTGCTGGTATTCAAATCGACACCATGAAAACTGGGCCACTAGGTCTAATGCTAGCTTAGCGTACATAATATTTGAGGATCTGAAAACGTAGACACTTTGCAAGTCGTTGCATAATAGAACTTAGAAGCTACGCGGTACTGATACGGTTGTAAAGTGATGATTATGATGCGTATTGCTCAGGGACATATTAAGTTCTTTGTCGTGTCATAAACGCTTACCCGTGAGTTTCGGGATGAACGCAGTCAGAAGACAGGCCACACCACAGAGCTCGTAGAAGAGTATCAGAGGTCGCCGTCGGCCGAATCTTAGCGGAAGAACAGAAAAAGGTCGACCGATATATTACGTTTATGGATGATGACACCGTGTGCACAACAGTTCGGCCATGGAGCGAATTTTTGGGGACAAGCAGTTTGGAAAATCGAATGGGGGGGGACGTCATTTGATTCTATTGATGCGCCGTTCAAACACAAAAGCGTTTTAAGCCTATTTGATCATTAATTTAACAGACAAAAATTTCTGCCCGTTTTCATTTTGAGTATTGTCTTAATCTAAGCAATTGGTTTTTTTTTTTTTTTAGAATTAGAGACCCTAAAGTATAAGAAAGTAATTGAACCATACCTCAGAATAACGAAGAAATCGAATATGAAACACGGTATCTCTGTCAGGGACATTAGGAAAAAGTTCAGGTACTTGTTCCCCGCCAGATTGGTGACATTGAGAGTGAAACCGTAGTACACAAAGTTACTGGTGAACCTGAAGCAGTGGGATGAAGAATGAAACACATGACGACGGTTACAAAAATGAAAACATTGCATAACGGCGCTAGCATTGGCAAGTTCATGTGTCATCTTTTTTTATGGTACTGTCACACAGCCATAATGTCACTGTCATGCATGATGTCACTGTCTTTACTGTATATGAAGCAAGGCCACAATTATCGCCATGTCTTTGGCGTAATGCCAGCATTACAATGTCACCGACGCAGTGTCACCGATGGTAAAATAATGAAGTCAAAAGTTTTGGGGATTTTTTTATACGTGACCTTGTTTTGCTGGCAAAGTTGTGGAAGGGAAATGAAGACTATACTCACCAGCAGTAGAACACCACCAGAGAGCGAAGAACGAGTACACGGGTCTTGAAGAGATCCAGGACTGTGTACCTCGCTCCTCTACGTTTAGTTTGGCATGCGCCAACGTCCTCGCATGTTTCATTGTGGTTCTGATGCTGTGCCCCTGCGTCCTGATCCGCCTGAGTGGGGACAGTGAGGGGCAAATATGCGCCAGTGGCGGATTGCAAACCTCGGGGTTGGTCGATGTTTTTCGAGGCAGCGATTTTCTGGAGGATGCGCTCGGCCTCTTGAATGCGACCCCTCTGAACCAGCCAGCGAATGGATTCATAGGAATACCTGTGACAGTAACAGTTACGTAATATGAGGGGTACTGTCTTGTTTGCTAAGAAGACGATTTGCGAATACAATCCTCTGTTCGCACCCGCAGTCACATTTGATTAGTCGGTTGCATGATTTTTAAAATGGGGACAATCGCTGTAGAAGAAATTACAAAACAATATCATGAAATCACGTGAACATCTACTTTCATGGGCTAGTTAATTGTTTTATCTCGGTACGTAGATCAGGTGGACCCTACACGGTGAGTTTCCGCCTCGCGAGGCTAACAAAAATCAAACAGGATAGATATTTGCCTCATCACGGCCTCGCGAGGCAGAAAACAGCAAAAAATTGACCGCACACGGGTGGTATTTTGTGAGCTACATGTACGTGACGAGCAAACTGCCTCGAATGACTTTTTGCTCAGCACGTAGCTGCCGTGTGCCGTGCGGCGGGCTTTACACAGCAACTGAAGTAAAGTGGCTTGCTCAACGACACAGACACCATGCTCCTTCATGGTGTAATCACTGCCCTAATACTCCGCATGGACTTAACAGATTGGTTGGAACCAGGTAGGACAGTGCGGCAATTGCAGTAAAAAGTCTTGCTCGAAGACACAAGTACCGTTATCTCCAGTATAAGTATCAAAGCTGCATGGATGTAGCGCACCCATATAAGTCGTGCATCGGGCAAAATAAACCATGTAATTTAGGAAACAGCACTCACCACACAAGTGGTATCAGGATAACACACGGCAGTGTGGCCACGAGCTGGAAGTGGCGCCAGTCCGGCATGAGATAGGCAAATGGACCAACAAGCATGACGCCTAGACACCACGGCATGGCACTGAACGTATGGCCGACCAGACGCTGTTTAGGCGTGTACATCTCAATGATTCGCACATAACGGACAATCAGTATCCCCTGAAATGTAGGCATTAAAAGTAAAAAATAATAATAATAATAACTTGATTTTTTTTTTTTTTACTTGTGCTATGCCATTATGAAAAAAAATAGCACATGGCGGATCAAGGATTTTCCTATGGAGGCTGACTCGTGTGTGACGTCCAAGACTTCGGGGGTGATCTGAGGCGTTGCAGCCCATACTTAAAAAGACCAAAGGCTGGCCTGAAACGATGAATCGAGATTTGCAATAATTTAAGTTGTGATGTTTCCCTCCGCCAATGAGGTTATGTTTTCATCGGCGTTTGTTTGTTTGTTTGTTGGTTTGTCTGTGAACAAATCGATTATATTTTGGTATTTACCCCCCCCCCCCATATTTTGTAAAGACTGCCCTTTTCCATTAAAATGCCCTTTTTTCATCAGAGCTTGTACCCCCCCCCCCCCAATATTTGTGAAGAGTGCCCTTCTTTTGTTAACAAGTGCCTTTTTTCCCGAACAAGTGCCCTTTAAAATATAAAGTCGTGGCCTTTTTGTGCCAGCGGCCGTTACGAGTGCCTTACCCACACACGTACTAGCACGTTTGTTTATGGTGTAAATCGACGGTTTTCTTTTGTTCGTCTTCCCTTTTCCTTTGTTTGTACTTTTTCGCAACAGCTCTCTTTGGTTTTGTACACGTTTTCTAATCGAGGTCGTCCTCGATTTGGTTCTTGTCTTCGATTCACCGATGATGTTGCACGTGTGTGTCCTCGATTTACACCATAAACAAACGCACTAGCACAGTCGTGTTGACAACGTCGATCGTGGACGTCCTATTGTCCCTCTTTTATTTGTACTTAAACTTTTAAGGAAGACTCCCATATGTGTTGTACACGACCCCAATCGCGGACGTACGCTGGGAATCGTGGACGACATTGTTCTCTTTGTCCACGGTTTCAATAGATGGACACGCCCACACCCGCTGGCTATGCTAATGGATCGGATCAGGTTAAAACTCTATAGGCCCACTGAGAGTGGATATTTCTTCGTGCTAAATTTCATTAAAATCTGTCATTGCACGGTTGGGGTGTGAGGCTGCCCTTACAAAGTTTTAACTCACCGGCAAGAAAATCCCCAGCATGAAACCGAGGGCAAACATGAGTTCGTAGTTCCAGGTCACGCTCATTGCTGTCCCGAACACGACGATCCCGACCAGGGACACGAGTAGTGCCGGACGACGGCCGAAGGTATCCGAGATCTGGCCGATGATGTACGAACCGACCAGAATCCCAAGGGGTATGCTGGACTGTAGGGTCCCTCCCAGGAAACCCCGATCACATACCAGATCCAACTGCATTGGTGATAATTATAAAGTCCGGTTTAGTATTTTTATAAGATTATTGTTTGACAAAATATTCAACAGCAGAAGAATTTACTTGATATACGTAATAGTTAACAGTATCCGTTACACTTTACTCGGCCATTGTGTATGTGTTATACATGGTGTATAAAAAAATCGTAATACAAACATAATAAGTTAATATTAAAGGTTATGAACTTGGACACTGTAGTTAATGTCCATTCAGATATTGTGTGATCGATATCCTGGATGGTGTAAGTTTAGCCTATGCATGTCCTTCGTGTTTTCTTTTTCTAGTATATATGGCATGCAAGTTGTTTGCAAACCATGCCAGTCGTTTCCCATGACTCCTTTTATCGCTTAATAAAAATGCAAGAATCTCCTCTAATAAAAACGCACTTCGCCTAGGCCCACAATGAAAAGGTTACTTCAGTTCAAGAGAATCTCCAATAAGCTGGAATTCCACCCAACGGATGGAACAAAACCGTGATCAGACAGGCACCCATCATTAGCCCGCCTCATTACACAGCCTCATTGTAAGAACTGAGACGCTTTGGAAATGGTCGTCTAATTGGTGGATCCGTTTCCTGTCCTCTATTGTTGAACTGACAATAACCGCGGCGGGACTCAACTACCAAACGGCCTCGTCCCTTTGTTCAGATATTTTCTTCAAAAGCAAGCGCCCGCCCACCGTGGCCTTGCTCATCCGGTTTCCCAGGTGTACATGTACTTGGAATGCAGGCTTCACATCAACAGTTAAGGTTTATTGTGCCCCACTATCCATAAACAATGCTTAAGCAAGTTGCGAGAATTAACGAACTCACTGATTCAATTACAGCACACAATCACAAATTACACAATTTATACCTTTCACACAAATTATACCTTTTGTGACTTCAGAAACTTTCCGTGTTTAAAACTGTACTAGAATTTAAGTTTAAGTACTAAAAAGATATCTGTTTATTGGGGGTCCCAAAAATATCAATACAGGTCTGCAAGTAAACGCCAAGAAAGTACGAGACTAGATGAATCAACCGCACTTTTTAAAATCCTTTTTGAAAGATTTTTGCGTAGTTGGGTACGTAGCGATCATTATCCATGTAAGTTGTCCAAATTAAGGTTTTAAACGCGAAGTGTTAAAATAAAACTAAAAGATAAAATGAGAACTGAAAGGAAATGCAATAATGAAATGCAAGGAGTTATTTCTTTCTCTGTTCTTTCAAGTTCTTAGCTCATTACAGTGAATGGCCTTGATCTTGTGTTTGGCCAAAACCCGTAACGGTACAGCATATTGAAAGAAAAAGTGGAGCTTCGTCGTTTTCTTATTTGCAACACATCCTCCTGAGTTGTTTTTACCAAAATTGTTTTGACACTTAAAAAACAAATTGTAATGTGATCTCGAAATGCAGCAACACCCGTATAAAACTTCCGTTCCAGAGTCACTCCAAACCGAAAATATGAAAAGCGACTATAAATCGGTTTAACACATGCAGACAGGTAAACTTTGTGTATTATTAACTTTTCGTAGACTCTAGAGTCAGACGTAATCTTTTGACCCCTATAGGCCTATATGTGTGTACTTGGTACAGTCATTACTTGTTGCTCTTTGACATTGGTACGTGTTTTGAAACCCGATGACATGCTATTGAAAGGTGTACACGCAGCAATTGGCACAGGACCAAACTTGTATCATTGCATGTGCATATGTTGTCGGTTAAAGGTACGTCGTCATAGATGTGGATTTTGTTTTAATTGAAATCCAGACAGTCTCTTCAGACTTCTTGAGTCTATCCCCCCCCCCCGACACATTTCCCAAATGATTCGCTGAGAATTAAACTACATCAAGAACTTGAAGTATATATGATCTTTAAATTATAAAGTACTCGGCAATTTTGTTTCTTAAATCAACTTTTGTGCTGGAGGTTTTTTGTTTGTTTTGGGGGCTAGCTATCAGCAGAGTTTGTGACACCAAGATTTCGGAATCGGAGAACAAGAATTTGCTTAATTTGAGCACAAGAACTGTTCTGAAAACAAACTGTGCGTAATGTGCACCGTATACTTACGTCCGTAACGACGCTTGTTTCACCGTGACTTGTTTGGTACTGCCAGCCAGTGTCACATGCCGTGGTGTTTTCCATAACGCTTCCATTGCGGACGTCGTAGAACATACATCCATCAATCTCTGTCTCTCCCCAGTCGTCTAGCGATTCCTGCCAACCCGGTACCGTCTCGTTCGCCGTGAACCCCTCCGGCGGTTTGCAGTGATAACCCTCAGGCTGGCCCATGGTGAAGGCGATCCCCGTCAGCTGGAACGCCGCCGGGAACACGGTCAGGGCGTAGATCAAGCAGTTGAGGTTTTGGAGTCGGCCGTAGGACCCTACAACTCGGAGGTTCGCATCCACATCCATGCTTGACGGGAGTCGGCAGCTTCCAAAATCTGACATCCGACACGATCGAGTTGTATGCGCTCTAAACGCTGACCCTCTTCAGAGTGATCAAGAGTGACGAGAACATCCAGCCAGGCTTAGGGAAGTGATTCAGTATTTTATTTTGATGACCCTGAACATGCATGGGCCACAAGCACCCACTCGTCATGGCCCAAGTTGCAAAGGCGCCAATAACAACTGCACATAACATTCGCTTCAGTACCCGTGCAGTCTCCGCTGGCCCTGTATCTCATAAATTGCGGCTGCTGAAGATTCAGAGGAGAGGCTTCTATGAGTTAATTTCAGTTTGTCTTATATGCTGAATTTGAAGAGGAACTTGCTTCAACTCAACAGGGAAATTGCAGGGGGCATGAGCTAGGGCCAATTAGTTGACAATCACATTGTTTACTGATAATTTGTTTGGCTCGAGGAACTATAAGGTAACTAGGTGGCGTGAATTCTGGACATACTTAAGCGCACGAGGTGAACTCCATCAAGTAGCAAAACGTTACTCTTCGGTAGGCAATTTATTCAATAATAATATGTTTTGCCCTTCACCGACGTATAAACTTTAATGTCGCAGTTTAATTACCCCTTTTATAACTGCGCTTACAAAAACCATACGAAGTTGCTTCACCTCTAAAAACGTGAAGTATTTATTCACCAAACGACAGGTAGGCTGGGTAGGCTATATTTTAACAGTTATTTTCCTAACAGTTCAGGGGTAAAAACGGCTTTGTTCAACACGGCATAAACTTTCGGAATAGTCTCAGTGACCCGACTAAATCCCATCCAAAACTTTCTGATAGTGAATCTTCACTTGGCTGTCCATCTACGCTCCTGTGCAAAGTTAACCAAGTTAGCTTCAACCAGGTAACTTAATTGGTCGAATTTGTCGAGGGGGGTTTTGGGGGTCACCCCCCCCCCCCCCCAGCTCTGTCCCCCCAAAAAAGTTCTCATACAAATTCCTAAAAAATAGGTCGAACCCCCCCCCCCCCCTCCCTGCTGTGACACCCCCCCCCCAAAAAAAAAAATTATACTGGTGTAATGTCCGCCTGTTCAAAATCAGTACACCATTCTGTAATGAGTGTTAATAATCGTCGAATTTGAACAGCGCCCCCTATTGAAATTGATTTTTTTTTAAATAGCGGAGCTAAAAAAGTAAACTGTTAAACGCAAGGGCAACAATGCATTTCGTTCTACATATTGAAATTGATCCGGGATTTTAGAGGTAATGTACAACATTTGCAAACATAACAACTGCCAAATTATTCTTTTGAAATACCTTACTTGACTGTAAGAGAATAATAGTCTCAGGATCCTGTGAAATTATGACACCTGATGTGCATGGGCGTCGCGGGGGGGGGGGGCAAGGGGGTTTAAAAAAAATTCTGACGTTCTAAAACTATTAATACTGTTTCTATTTTAAACTCACCTGATTGTTCGAACAGCCTTGCCCCTGAACAACAGAGTTAACGAGGCATCACTGCTCCGCCGCAGCCCAACAAGTTTATATTATCAATGCCCGCTGAATAGATTGTCATTTACACGTACGTCCGTGTGTGGTCTGTAGTCAACTGTTACAAATTTGGGTGAATTGAAATGTGAAACGTCAGAAAATGGGGATCTCCAAAACAGTGCATCTCCTGAAAATGAGGACCGCCCCCGAAAAACGATGACCTCAAAAATGAGGGCCTCCTCAAAAGTGCGGCCCTCTTTGCCCCAAGCCCCCTGTAATTACCATAGGTACATCACTGCCTGTGTTAAAACAATTCCTTTGTACTTGATATATTAAATTGAAGTCATTTTTAACTTACGCTCCCCCTCGACCCAGCAAGTAATATCGATTCCCTCTCGCTGAAGAGTTGACAATTGTTATTGTGCGAGTGGGTGAATTCAAACGTCAACAAATTATAACACGGACACTTGTTCCATATTTCTATTAGTCCAAAAAAAAAAATATTCGGTCTCTGGTCAGACCAAAGTTCCGGAATTGACGCAGCCGCGCGGCTTTTTTTTTTTTCTTCAAGCTTGGAATGTACAGACAAGGTGGGTACTATTTTGCTTTTTTGTGTCCTCATGTACATTGTTGTCCTCTATGATTTGCCTTGGTGCTTTCGATCATTTGCCTGGGTGCAATTTCCCATTCCTTGGTGCTCTTTGGTAAAAAAAAAAATGAGGAGGTGAGGAAATAGAGGGCGCTGTTAGAGCTTCCGCGGAACATTTTGGAAAAAAGAAAGATCCACGCGCATGATTAAAATCGACGCGCGCGCTGACCAGAGACCGACTTAATTTTTTTTGGCCTTGGCCTCTGTTGTCTGTGTGTTCCAAAGCGCGATTCAAGGGGGCCTCTTTGCGTTCCCCACTCAGTATATGGGAAATGCAAAGCGAGCTTTTTATTGTAAAAAAAAATGAGCAAGGTTCCCAATTCCAGACAGTGATACCCCTAAGTGCCCCCCCCCCCCCCCACGCCAGATACCGCAAGCTGCACTTTGATGGTTGAAAACGAACACGTGTGGACACAAAATATTAAACAGCTCAGTGGAACGATGCCCATGGGCGTCGCGAGAGGGGGGAAGGGGGCCCCTGGAAAAGCCAAAAAAAGGGAAGAAAAAAAAGAGACAAAAGAAAAAGAGGCGCGAAGTCATAGTAGTGTAAATTTAATGGTGGGGGAGGGGGCAAAATGTCCCTGCCCCTCTCTAAAACTGATACATCGAGAATGTGTTGAGAAATACAGGAATTTTTTGGCAAAAATATGTTTGCCCCCCCCCCCCCTAGAAAAAAATCCTGGCGACGCCCATGACGATGCCCGATGCTAATTGGAAATTATTAGCCCTTGTGTTGGATATGCAATAGCAGCCATTACCTTTAAAATGTTAGCGCATGGATATCAATTGAAACGTCAATTACTTAACAGGGACCGAAGATGCTGCCGTCATTTTATTATTATTATTAATAACAGGCATACAGCACGATTGTCCGTGAGCTTGAATGTATTGTGCAATTATTTCCCGACGGCTGACTCGGAGGGGGGGGGGGGGGGGGGGGGGGGATTATTGATTGACGAGTGTAAGTGGATTGCAGTTCGGATGATAATTGCAAGTTGGGTAGGTCTGGAAATTGTCGGCAGCTGGAGCCGTTTGTGGAGCTAGCTTTTCGCCGCGGCGAAATGGACGCTTACATCTTGGTTGTGGCGTTGCAGCTGTTCTTTCAGCTTGCTGTGTGTGAACTAACAGGTGAGGGTTTTTTTGTTTTGAGTTGCATATTTCACATCTTTTTAACTTTCCGTCTCTGAAACAAGGGCAGAACCATGTTAACAGATGGGAGGCGTTGACTTTTTAAACACAACGTATCAAGACTTTAGCTGAACGAAGCAGCCGCCATAGGTGGGCGCGGACATCCGGGAATATTTTTCCATTGGCTTATCTAGCTCCCAGACCTATGTTCTTGAAACTCAATGGTTCTTGAGTCTGGAGTGCTGAATGGTAACACATAGCAACCGATGCAAATTGTATTGTTTAATCCTACAGAAATAAAAGCATAACGCAACCGTTTCGAACACGACGCTCAAAGTAGTTTAAAGAAGTAAAATGATATAAAATATTCACATCTATTTTAAATGTTCACAATATTGTTTTCTTTCCAAAATATACAAATAAAACGAATTAGTGACTTTTGTCTGATTACAGGTATATTTTTATGATTTACAAACCTGAGACAGTTTTTCTTCATCTTAAGACCTGCTGTCCTTCAAGGCCAAATTGTCATACCCAATTCCTACCCAATTACAAAAGCGTTGTTCACAAAATCTCTTCATATATTATCCAACCGAAAGATGTTTTTATCTTTTCAGCCTTTTCTGTCATTGGTAAGCCAGCGTGGCTGAGCACTGCACATACCAGCTTTCCTGCGGGAAACGCTGTCGACGGTAATCTTGCGACCATCGCTCACAACGGTAAGACCATGGCATTGTAACGTTATGAATGAAACTTGCAATATACCTTGTCTTACTGAGTGACAGCCTATTTTAATGTGCATTCATAATCTATTTGGAACGGTAAACATTTTTTTTTACCCACAATGTCTACATAGGGTATCGTGTTGAATAAAACGTATATGTTTTTCCACTGCTCATGAAAAACCAAATGGCGTAAATTTGCAGTAAGACTTGGAAAGATATTTTTTTTCTTTCTTTCAATATCGTTAGGATATCTGAATTAAAGACAAGTAGGAATCTACTGATTTTATGAGTTTTATCTTCACTTTGTATGAACAAGGATTTCTTGTTAATTCGGTAGGTATGTTTCCGGGTAATTGCAAATGTACCTTTATGCAAGGAGTACCTATAATTGGACCAAAACCGACTCCCAAATAAAGCAAAGGAAAAACCAGTTGAGCAAACAGAATGGTACTTTTACTCTGACCATAGGAGGCGGTGACCCACATCCTGTGTTGGGAGTCGACCTGGAAGAGGAGGTTTGCATGGGACGAGTGACCATCACACTACGCGACTCAGGCTGCGGTAAGCATAATAATATACTTTCAGTTCAGGAACAGTGTCCAAATCACTTTGCTATGGTTGGGAATAGTACACGCACGTAAGGAAGCCACTGACTAGCAGTTGTGGCCACTTTCCAAATTGGCGGTGCATTGCTTTTGTTCCGTATAGAGATATAATAACAATAATAAAAATACTAATTTTGATTGAGGTTTTGTTAATATTTATTTATTCATTCATTTTTTTCATGTTTATATTTTACTTTTTATTGTGAAGGCGATCTGCCATGTTTCCTAGGCACGGTAATCCGCGCTGGGCTTAGCCCGAGCTATACCGACAACCCACCGTGCGGCTTACCGGGCACGGCCGCGCAGTCCACCCCGGGCGCGGTGATCAAGTTCCCCTGCGATGTACCGCGGCTTGCCCGCTACATCACCCTGGACATCGACCCATCCCAGCCCGGCGTCACTGACCCTACTCTGAAGATCGCCGAGGTTGAAGTCGAGGTGTACACAGCTGGGGAATGTGCTGGTATGAACGAAAATTTTTATCCATTTTGGACTTCGTCTATCTGTTTGTCCGTGTATTTGTCGGTGTGTATGGACAGTTTAGATTTTTCTATAATCTCCGCTCATAATTGGTTTCTGTACATTTTCTCACATTGCTTGTGACTGAGTTTGACCCAAGTTTGACTGTGGCCACCTGACGTGGTCTAATTGGTCAAGGCAGTGTGCACTGTTTGATTCATTTGATGAAATTCGAATTGGCGATGAACTAGCAATGAGCATTGGTGTAACATGCTTCTAATGTTTTATATTTTGTTGATCAAAATGTTGGTATGCGGTTCGCCAGGTGGCAGTGAAAGGCTGGTAAAGGTATCACTGAGCCCAAAACTGCCAAATTATCACCGTACGCGTACCATCCGATTCTTATTCGACCACACCACTTTTTTCCCTCAGAACCTATCGTTGACACAAGCTCCGCCCACTTTAGGAGGCTGCATAAGGGAGGCTACATCGGCAACTCCGACCCCCTGTCGACCAAGAGGGCGTCATCTCTCACTCGATGCGCCCTCTACTGTCTGAAACGTGCCAGTTGTTTGTCCTTCGATTTCGCGGCAGTCGTGGGCCAGTGTCACCTCTACAGCCAGACATCGGAGGATATCGAGATGGCTTCAAACACCGACTTCAACATCTACGTGCGCGACAGCAACTAGTTATAAATGCAACACGATAAGGGCCAAGAAAACATTTTCATATTCAGGGAGTAAAAAAGAAAATGACCGAATTAGGAAAAAAATATCTTGAAAAATATTTGGTTCACTCCATTTCATAAAAGTAACACAGGGATAGATTACGTGTTATTGACTAGTAACTATGAACATTTCACGTTTTTTGCATTCCTGACTCCCAAGATATGTGGATTTTAATAATAACAAAAATCATCATTAAATTGAAGCTGTCCTTTACGGATCACGAACTGATGAATACCCATTACATACAATGAAAAATGGACGTTTTTCCACCTCAATGAATGAACGAAAACTCGCAAAGGAAAACAGACAAAAATCGCCATCAATATTGCAAAAAAAAGGAGTTGACTTTTTCCTCATATTCAAATCACAAGTATTTTCAGATGAGCGAAGAACATGCTCTGTTAAAACCATTGGGGTATCAAATTAGATTGCTTTTTAAGGACAAAAATCTTTAACCCAGACCACTTTCTTTTTTACTCACCCTTTAGTCACACCAAAGTAGTAATGTAGGCTACATGAAACCGAGGCTGTTTTTTTGGGTGGGGTGGGGTAGGGGAGGCCCCCCCCCGTCGCTTTATCATTCAGTGCTACTTCTTTTTATGTGTAGGCCTACGCCTTTTTTTGTAATATTGCAGAAGCCATGCATTCTTTTTGTTTTTGTAAATATGCCTATAATACGCGTTGTAATTATCTGTTCAAATTGAAGAGAAATTCAAGGACGCAATTATCTTGATTAGCTCGTCAATAATGACTAGACCATAATGTGATATATCAGCTCACTGGCCGTAACAAGAGAATTTTTTTTTCGAAATTTTTTTTAGGGGTCGTTTCTTCACAACGCATCACGAGAAAAGTTCAATGTGCTTAAACTTGATTCCCAAACTCTTGAGCTACATTCCTTTTTTAGTTGCTTTTAGTTATTTGCTTTATATTTTTATAATGTCTTCAAGACTTGTTAAAATTAATTAGGAATCACCTAGAGAAATTAAGGGTTGTGTAATGAAAGTAAATATTCACCAAATAGTAAAATAAGTATAACATTCATGAGTGTCGGAACATTTGGTAAGAGAGTTTACTGAGACTACAAAATAATGAGCAAAATTATCCTCAGAAAAACAGCTAGGAAACACTATATGATCTTACGTATTCTTAGTATTGAGTTTTTTATTGTTAAAACTCAATATCTGAAATCATATCATTACCATTTCATTTGTGGTCTTAACGCTTTTTTTAACAACTGTAAAAAAGTCCTAATACTGTCAATTTTAGTGTTCAACCATCAGTCCTCTTCAGGTTTCTTTTATATATTGATTTATATTTATCGTCATCTTGTCTTTGTATTGATTTTAATTCCATTGGAGTTTGTATTGTTTGGTGTCTGGAGTAAAACAAATAATAACAGCTGTATCATCAAATGCATTGTGTGAATAGCAAAAATGGATTGATTTTTGATATGGAGATTAGAATTTAAAGACAATATGAAATACATGTTTAAACCACAAAACAGGAGAGTCAATCTCTACTTGTTATCGGCATAAGAAGGGACAAAAACGACAGGAAATAGTATCAGTTCCAGTCTTTCTTTTAAAGCAAATTGTGTTTTCTACTTTGTTTTAAAAAGCGAGTTTCCTTGAAATTTCGTTCAAGATAAGAGGCGTGTCTTCGATATGGCACACTGATGAAAAAACGACAGCCGGTTTGGACAAACAACAACGCGCCTCCTTTTCTGTCGTCATAAACGATTCAGCAGTCAATCAATGGCCGTCGAAATTCAATAGATGTAATTGCAACCGTTGATAATTCCAGCAGCGAGACGAGGCGGCCCTTAATCAATGAAGTATTATGGAGTCAAGGCTAATTTGACACTGCACTTGAATTTCTTATGATATTAACCCTTATTAATATTTTTTGCACACATTTTTAATGCACGCGCATGAATCTTGAAAGAAATTTCAGGTTTGGTTTTGAGTGTTTTTACCCCAAATTTTCGGCCAAATTTTTTTTTTCAAAGGCACATCTGTTCCCAAATCGAATTGGAATGTGTTCAGGGTTACCTTAGGCATCTTTCCTGCAAGTTTTAAAGAATTTCATGTTTTGCCCAAAATTGAAAAAAATACAAGGGGTTAGCCTTACATTTTTAACCAAATTTGGCCAAAAATTGACTTTTCTCCAAACAACGCAGAAATACCTCTAGAGACGAGTAAAGCATGAATCAATATTCAAACACCCAAATTTGGGTAAATTTAGGCAAATATCATCCATTTTTGTGTTAGGAAATACATATAAATAAAACAGAATTTTGACTGTTTTTACCCCAAATTTCGGCCAAATTTTCTTCTCAAAGCACATCTGTTCCCAAATCGAATTGGAATGTGTTCAGGGTTACCTTAGGCATCTTTCCTGCAAGTTTTAAAGAATTTCATTTTTTGCCCAAAATTGAAAAAATACAAGGGGTTAGCCTTACATTTTTATCAAAATTTGGCCAAAAAAATGACTTTTCTTCAAACAACGCAGAATTCCTCTCAAGACGAGTGGAGCATGAATCAATATTCAAACACCCAAATTTTGGCAGATTTAGGCAAAAATCATCCATTTTTGGGTAGGAAATACATGTAAATAAAAAGCCAAATTTTGACTGTTTTTACCCCCAAATTAGGCCAAATTTTCTTTGCAATGGCACATCTGTTCCCAAATCGAATTGGAATGTGTTCAGGGTTACCTTAGGCATCTTTTCTGCAAGTTTCAAGAAATTTCATTTTTGGCCAAAATTGAAAAAAATACAAGGGGTTAGTTAGCCTTACATTTTTAACCAAATTTGGCCAAAAATTTACTTTTCTCCAAACAACGCAGAAATACCTCTAGAGACGAGTAGAGCATGAATCAATATTCAAACACCCAAATTTGGGTAAATTTAGGCAAATATCATCCATTTTTGTGTTAGGAAATACATATAAATAAAACAGAATTTTGACTGTTTTTACCCCAAATTTCGGCCAAATTTTCTTCTCAAAGGCACATCTGTTCCCAAATTGAATTGGAATGTGTTCAGGGTTACCTTAGGCATCTTTCCTGCAAGTTTTAAAGAATTTCATTTTTTACCTAAAATTGAAAACAATACAAGGGGTTGGCCTTACAATTTTTAACCAAATTTGGCCAAAAATTGACTTTTCTCCAAACAACGCAGAAATACCTCTAGAGACGATTGGAGCATGAATCAATATTCAAACACCCAAATTTGGGTAAATTTAAGCAAATATCATCATTTTTGTGTTAGGAAATACATATAAATAAAACAGAATTTTGACTGTTTTTACCCCAAATTTCGGCCAAATTTTCTTCTCAAAGGCACATCTGTTCCCAAATCGAATTGGAATGTGTTCAGGGTTACCTTAGGCATCTTTCCTGCAAGTTTTAAAGAATTTCATTTTTTGCCCAAAATTAAAAAAAAATACAAGGGGTTAGCCTTACATTTTTTTCAAAATTTGGCCAAAAAATGACTTTTCTTCAAACAACGCAGAAAATCCTCTCAAGACGAGTGGAGCATGAATCAATATTCAAACACCCAAATTTTGGCAGATTTAGGCAAAAATCATCCATTTTTGGGTAGGAAATACATGTAAATAAAAAGCCAAATTTTGACTGTTTTTACCCCAAAATTAGGCCAAATTTTCTTTGCAATGGCACATCTGTTCCCAAATCGAATTGGAATGTGTTCAGGGTTACCTTAGGCATCTTTTCTGCAAGTTTCAAGAAATTTCATTTTTGGCCAAAATTGAAAAAAATACAAGGGGTTAGCCTTACATTTTTAACCAAATTTGGCCAAAAATTGTCTTTTCTCCAAGCAACGCAGAAATACCTCTAGAGACGAGTAGAGCATGAATCAATATTCAAACACCCAAATTTGGGTAAATTTAGGCAAATATCATCCATTTTTGTGTTAGGAAATACATATAAATAAAACAGAATTTTGACTGTTTTTACCCCAAATTTTCGGCCAAATTTTCTTCTCAAAGGCACATCTGTTCCCCAATCGAATTGGAATGTGTTCAGGGTTACCTTAGGCATCTTTCCTGCAAGTTTTAAAGAATTTCATTTTTTGCCCAAAATTGAAAAAAATACAAGGGGTTAGCCTTACATTTTTAACCAAATTTGGCCAAAAATTGACTTTTCTCCAAACAACGCAGAAATACCTCTAGAGACGAGTAGAGCATGAATCAATATTCAAACACCCAAATTTGGGTAAATTTAAGCAAATATCATCCATTTTTGTGTTAGGAAATACATATAAATAAAACAGAATTTGGACTGTTTTTACCCCAAATTTCGGCCAAATTTTCTTCTCAAAGGCGCATCTGTTCCCAAATCGAATCGGAATGTGTTCAGGGTTACCTTAGGCATCTTTCCTGCAAGTTTTAAAGAATTTCATTTTTTGCCCAAAATTAAAAAAAAATACAAGGGGTTAGCCTTACATTTTTTTCAAAATTTGGCCAAAAAATGACTTTTCTTCAAACAACGCAGAAAATCCTCTCAAGACGAGTGGAGCATGAATCAATATTCAAACACCCAAATTTTGGCAGATTTAGGCAAAAATCATCCATTTTTGGGTAGGAAATACATGTAAATAAAAAGCCAAATTTTGACTGTTTTTACCCCAAAATTAGGCCAAATTTTCTTTGCAATGGCACATCTGTTCCCAAATCGAATTGGAATGTGTTCAGGGTTACCTTAGGCATCTTTTCTGCAAGTTTCAAGAAATTTCATTTTTGGCCAAAATTGAAAAAAATACAAGGGGTTAGCCTTACATTTTTAACCAAATTTGGCCAAAAATTGTCTTTTCTCCAAGCAACGCAGAAATACCTCTAGAGACGAGTAGAGCATGAATCAATATTCAAACACCCAAATTTGGGTAAATTTAGGCAAATATCATCCATTTTTGTGTTAGGAAATACATATAAATAAAACAGAATTTTGACTGTTTTTACCCCAAATTTTCGGACAAATTTTCTTCTCAAAGGCACATCTGTTCCCCAATCGAATTGGAATGTGTTCAGGGTTACCTTAGGCATCTTTCCTGCAAGTTTTAAAGAATTTCATTTTTTGCCCAAAATTGAAAAAAATACAAGGGGTTAGCCTTACATTTTTAACCAAGTTTGGCCAAAAATTGACTTTTCTCCAAACAACGCAGAAATACCTCTAGAGACGAGTAGAGCATGAATCAATATTCAAACACCCAAATTTGGGTAAATTTAAGCAAATATCATCCATTTTTGTGTTAGGAAATACATATAAATAAAACAGAATTTGGACTGTTTTTACCCCAAATTTCGGCCAAATTTTCTTCTCAAAGGCGCATCTGTTCCCAAATCGAATCGGAATGTGTTCAGGGTTACCTTAGGCATCTTTCCTGCAAGTTTTAAAGAATTTCATTTTTTGCCCAAAATTATAAAAAAATACAAGGGGTTAGCCTTACATTTTTAACCAAATTTGGCCAAAAATTGACTTTTCTCCTAACAACGCAGAAATACCTCTTGAGACGAGTGGAGCATGAATCAATATTCA